AGGATGTTTCGCTGCAGAGTTTCCTGCTCCTGCTGGCATGCCAGAACTGTCCGCCGACGTGGGAGACCAACGGGCCTTCCTACAAAGAGATCTTGGGCCAGTCTCGCCCTCAGTTGTTCAGGGAAAGTCCCACTTATGCTTTGAATGAGTTTCACTGACTTCTAGGCCAAATCCGGCCAACCAGATGGCAGGACCGGTGCAGTGCCACGTTGGTGAATCAATTGCTTTGAAACAAGAGGTGGGCATGCTGTGATGGGTATCAGTCGAACACCAGGAAGTGCCGCCCACCAACTGCAGCAGCAAGTGAAGCAGATGCAGGCTGGACAGCACCAGCAACAACAGCAGCAAATGCAGCAGCAGCAGCAACAACAACAACAGCAGCAGCAGCAAATGCAGCAGCAACAGCAGCAACAACAGCAACAACAGCAGCAGCAACAACAACAGCATCAGCAACAACAGCAGCAGCAACAACAGCAGCAGCAACAACAGCAGCAACAGCAGCAACAGCAGCAGATGCAGTCCCAGCAGGGCCAGTGTGCACCTCAGACCATTGCGCAAAGCGTCGTGTTCTTGATGCGCCTGGCAGTGACCGTCCACTGCAAGCTCCGTATTCGAGGCAGCAAATGGGCATGCAACTGATGCAGCCCACAGGTCCGAATTTCACGGAGCGCCAAATGCTAGTGGAGTTTTTGTGGCAGGGAAGTGGTGTTCCTAACGCACTATCAAGCGGGCCTCGCGGCTAGCAGGTCCTGGCGGGCAGATGGGACAAGCAGGCTTCATCATGACCGTGCCAGGGTCCGATGCCTAGGCATGCTGCAGCGCACTCACGGACAGTAGGATTTTGGGATCGCGCCCTACCGGCTGCAGTCGAGGAAAGCTGCAGTAAAGGCTGCGGTCGATGTCGTTTCTGCAGAATGAGGTGTGCCAACGGACAGCAGCCGATGATGCCGTAACTTGACTCCAGTTCATCAGATGAAGCAAATATGCTAACAGCAAATTCCCCTTGCGACCGGCGATTTTTGTGAGCACTCTATACCAAGCCGCTCGCGCTGCAAGGTTGCCTCCCCACCTGCTAGCAACTGTCTAGTCATTGTCTAAACTCAACGTGCGTGGGGCGAGTACCTCATGCGTATTGGAGTTGGAAAAGTGCAGTGTCAGTTGACCCGTTACAAATTCCTCAAAATAGTAGTCAGGGTAGTCGTTGAGAGTCACTGTGTGTGTGGGCACGCAGGCAGCAGATGTTCCAGCAGATGCCGCAAGGGGCGTGCTGCTCAGAATTCTGCCGTCTTGTAGAGTATTGCGCCGTTGCAGTTGCGCAGCCTGCTTGTAAGTCTCAGTCGTTTGCCTAGGGCGGGCGAGGAAACAATGCTCAGGGAATGCGGTCCTGGCATGTTTCGCACCGTGCTTCTGGTGTGACCCGCTCGATCCAAAAATCCCTGCCATCTCTGCCCTACTGTTCCCTACAAATCACGGTGTCATGCATTCGCGGGATCTGGTGACTATGCCTAAGCAGCCGTTGTGATTTGGTCTTGAGGGGAGCTCAAGTCCGGGCCGTCCTTGTCGAAGCTGATCTATCCCATGCTATAGAATACCACCATTGGCATGAGCTTTGCCTTTGCTTCTGCTGCCAGGCAGCAGAACCAACCGCAGCCCCAAATGCAGATGCAGCAGCAAGGAAACCAACCGCAGCCACCCCCTCAGCACTGTGCAGCGACGGTCAGTTCCTTCCATTTGATGTTTAAATGTTGACAATCAGCATAAGGTAAAAGTCAGAAAGTTGGAATATGATTATCCTAACCCTTCTATGGTAAATTATAGGGTATCCTACCCTGAAACCATATTCCAACTTTCTGGAGTTCCCTTTAGAAGTTGATGCTCGATGTGATGGGGCAAGGCAGCAGATGGGTTTCGTGCCTCAGAACATGATGGGCGGCCAAGTCGTTGCCATGCCGAACACTTACTTGCGACGTTCGATGCGAAATCAGTTCAGTGACCCCGTCAACTTCACAATATCGACAGGCCTGGCGCGATGGGGGCTCCACAGGGCAACATGGGCATGGCCTGTGCCTAGAGATGCCTTTCTGGGGTGGCAGAATCATGGCAACATGATCGAAGTCCTTTCCGAGACTCCCAGGCTGGCATGGGCGCAATGCCAAAATTCGGACAGGTGGTTCCGATGATGGCCCGTGGCTGAGGATGGAAAAATGATGCTGCCCCAACTGTGGCTTTGCCCTGATCATGACCCGAATTCATCCTAGGTGCCCGCCGGCCAATTCCCCCAAGGATTCATGCCACAGGCGGAATCGAAATGAGGGGCCAGGTCTATCAATTGATCGGATTGCTGGATGGGTCTGTCCTTGGCTCTGTGTTCCGTTTCGAAGCACAGTGCATTCAAACTAGAACCGCACTGCTTTGATGTGCAGGCGCAAGGCTGCATGTCCCAACCTTGGCTCCGCCATTGCTCTCCTTGTCCAGCTTCTCAAAGGTCATTATTTGGCACACTGAGTCACTGAGGCAGCAAGGCATGCAAGGTGGCCAACAAGGAGATGGCATGATGCGGCAGCCCCAGGCATTCAGAAACAGCTACAAGGAGGCTGCTGCTGCTGTCGCACCTGTCCTTCTTAGCACAGTCCCAAGCATTCCTAGCTGAGGATGCAAAATCAGATGATGCAGCCAGGCGGAGGCCTCCAGCCCTGGCACGAAGCTCCAAGGGTCAGCTGTAGCTGGGAGTTTCCGAGAATAAGGGGTACCTTAATTTGGGGGTCCTTCTGATAAGCATCCTGCTATTTAGGGTGCTAGATTAGGGTCCCCTATTTGCGGAAACTCCCAGCCCCCAGCAACGTCAACGTACTCTCTCGAAACTTCAGGGAATGCACACGCCAAGGTAGGCTGGTTGGAAACCTATGAGTCAACTGTTGGCCACACTCAATTCCTGCATAAGGTACCTTAAGCAAAGAGAGCCTCGCGGATGTCAAAGCCTCGTGTGGCTCCGGAATGTAAGAATCAAGGTCCTGAATTCTTGCGTTCTCGCTGCAGGTCGCCTTCCAAGCCCGAAGTATGCGAAAGCCGTCAATCCGAACTGAAGGTTAAAGCTGTGAAAAAGAGAATGATGCAATGAACCTGGATTCGATGCGTAGAGTATCCAGGTCTGATGAGCATGTTCTGGGAATGTCCTGCAAAGTGGCTCGAGAGAGACAGTAAGCAATCTGGGGGACTGGTGCTCATTTCCTCGCACATTAACACATTGGAGTTTGTCAAGCTGCAGTCTGTCGCTTAAAGATAAACGACGCTTGCTGCACAGGTGCGGGTCACATGCAGGGCTGCGGTTACCGCGGCATGGGCTGGAGACTTATTGTCCACATGAGAAGGCGAAGGCGACAGGGAATCGAATGAGTCTTGCCTCAGGTCCTGGTGAGTGAGTGCCGTGAAAGTCAAGGTGGGTGTCATAGTTCACGGGTATGCTGCTGCAGCATCTACCATCGATGCATGCTACGTCCCACGGCATGCACGGCCTGTTGAGGTTGCTTCGTCTTCCCGCGGCGCAAGTTGCACCTCTGTGAATATCCCGGGGTTGGACAAACGCAGAAAGCTTCTTTGATGTGGCGTCAGCGACTGGTTTCTGTTGACCATGAATTGACTTGCGGCTGCGTTATGAAGCGCGCAGACTGCGCTGTTTGTCCCATCCCGTCGTGAAGGCATCTCTGACCAGCAGCTTGGCCAAGCAATGCTTGAATTGCTGCGCTGACAGAGATCGCTTTGCCTTCGATCCACTTGGGTTTCCGAAACTGCCCCCAGAATATCCGAGCATCTGGCAGAACATGCAGAAGTCACGCCAACAAGAAGACCATAATATACCATAATAGCATTCATCTTGCAAAGAGAGCTTGTGCGGAGGGAGTCCTGTTCAGACTCTTGAAGACACTCGAGGTCAAAACCTTCCCAGCCTGCGAATGACACCATGCATGTGCAGATGGGGCAGATATGGTTGTATAATGTTGTATACCCATATACACAACAATATTCGCACAATGGCTAAACTGACAACATACATATACCCTACCTATAACCCTTTACATGCAAACACCGTGGCAGGGGACCCTCCGAGTTTCGGAGCTGCCCATATCCCGGCAGGCATGGCATAACATGCCGAGCCATGTGAATTTCTGGCTCCTGGCACTGGCACAACACTGTAGTTAATGGGACTTAGCAAGTAAGGGGTTAAGGTCCCTTCAAGAGATCAGCTTGGGATCCTTTCGTGTTTAGTTGAACTGAGGAGTCCGGAGTACTGAAGTATTGGATTCATTGCAGATATCATAGGTGGCATTTTACAAATTTTCAAGCCGGGAGCCGTCATTCTTGAAACGTGGCTTGTCCGCGCATTGCTGCATGCAAACTGGACAGCCAACGTCCCTTCCCCGCCCCTCTCCCCAAATTTGTACACGAAATTGGACATGTGTTGCTTCTCAGATGACCTGTCTTGTGTTTCAAGAGCAGGTCCTGGATGCCACCCTGTCCTACAGCCCCGTCCGGGCAGCAATTGCCGTGTGCATGCTCGCCGTCTACATATTCGAAAGGACTGGGGTTCCGCAATGAGACCTCGGGCAGGCACCGTGCAGTCCAGGACGGCATCCTAAAATGTGCATTTGCCTTCTGACTGTTGAGTTAGTACGTAGTGGTAGTTCTTGTGATGCCACGATGAAGAACGAGGTGCAGGTCTTGAGTAAGTGTCTCGCAATTGTGATGTTGTGCCGTTCGCAAAACTCAGCTGGCAGCACTTCCCCGCATGTCAGACTGACAGACAGACTAATGCGAAGCAAAAGAGCTCCGTGCTTGTTGCTACTTGAAGGTCATGGGTTGTTGTACATACGGCTGTAAGCAACTTGCAGTAGCCAGGTTACTTGTGTGACTCAGGAGGTTATTGGCCTAGCCTTACTTGTGAACATAGATAATACCCCAAACCCATGGAACCTTCAAGCAGTCTGCACAAGATCTCACCGCAGGCGGTCGCAAGCCCAAGCCGGCTTCTTAGCATTCCTTGGCATTCCTCGGCCTTGACAGACGCGGAATCGGGAAGTGCACGGCAGATGCCACCTGAGGCTGCGCGACATCATGAATACCAGCCAGCAGATATCTCAGAGGCTGGTGGGATCGCGAAGAGCTTGCCAACTCCTGGATTTTGGCATGGCATTTCGCAGTGGTCGACTCGTACTATGCGCAAATAAACCTTCACTTTGGGATTGGTGGCGTGCATGCGGTGCCGTGCCACACGCCTGCCCCCACACACGTCTGCACGCCTGCATCCGGCGGCCAAACAAAAGCACGCTCGCACTAGACACAAGCAGGCAAACAAGCCAAGTACATAAACAAATGCAAACTCATAAGCAAAGACTCTTGCACACACACACACACACACAAGCAGTACCCATGATCAGTCTCTTTCATTCTTCAAGACGCTCATGCTCTGTGTCTTTTTACTACTATTGTAATCATTCGCAGAGTTCCTCTCTTTGAGCTTTGTCTTTTGCAGGCCGAGCTCATGCAGCATGCGCTTCGCCTCTCAGAGCTTGAGGCGCGACGACGCAAAGCTTGTGGGGTTTGACAAAAAAGCGTCAGAGTTGAGAACAATTGGGGCTTACAGATGGTCAAGGGTCCGGGTTCGGTGTTTTTAGGATCTCAGATTTCAGGTTTATAGGGTTTAAGGGTTCCAGGTTTGGGATTTAGAACGCCTTGAGCATGTGAGAATCAATGTGTTGGCAACGCTGGCAGTAGCACTCATGATGGTTATGATGGTTGCTAGTAAGCAGTACTGCTTGGTGCTTGGTCTCGCGTTCCGGATGTTGATCGTGTTTGTGGATGTCTTTATGTGGGGTTGCACTTTCTGCTCTGATTTTTTCTGGGGGGGTTTGAGGGCTTAGCTGTAAGGCGCATGGCTTCCAAGCGTCTGGTTTGCATCTTTTGCATTTGGTGATGCAAACTTTCGGGCAGTTAAGTTCGTCGATATTGTGGCGACTCGTTTTTGTTCGCATTCGCAGTAGCTTTTTGAAAGCCATCATTGCCACGAGTCTTACTGTCGTTAGTACTCGTCTCGCGGCTATACTTGCAAGCTGTAGCACCGTTGAACTACAACCCATGCGAGTTCCCACACGGGTCTTGAGGATTCAAGCAAGATAAAAGCTCTTCGGCGGCAGCTCCTGCTGATACTTGTGCAGCTCAGGCTCAGCAGCGCGGGCATGTGGTGGCTGGTATTTCCCCGAGCATACTGGGCTTCTTGCTGAATGTGTGCACTGATGCTGAAACGCGGAGTTACTCAAATCTGAGAAGATAATTCCACTGTAGCCGTCGCACAAGATATTCCCAAGTCGCATCGAGCCCGACAGTTTTAGCAGCATGGCGGTCTTCTCTCGTGCACTTGAGAAGACCAACGGCTTAGCGAGGATGCAGATTCACGACTAAGCAGGCCAGAGCGAGAAAATACAGGTATGGCTCATGCTTAAACTCCTGAATCGATGACGATGGAGACCATGGAGCCCCTTCAGGAGCTCTGGCTAAGGCTGCATTGGCTTGCAAGTCAGCCTGCCTTCAACACTACGCAAGTGCACCGATGTGGGAGTTTCCGAAAATAAGGGACCCTGATATAGCACCCGAAATAGTAGGATCCTTTTTATAAGGACTGGCAGCCAGCTTTGTGCACCGGAACGGATATAGTGTCAACCAAGCAATAGGGGGCTTTTTTACGTGTACTCCCGTGCATCCTTTTTTTGTTGGCTCCTGCGTGATTTTGGGGTAATGTAGTGCCCCCCCGATCCTCCGCGGATGCCCGGGTTGTGGGAGTGGGGCTGAGAGATAAGCTCTTTGGAAGGATGTGCACTTGCTGTGTCGAAGCACAGTAGCAGTACGTGGAGTAGTAGTACAGTAGTGTAGTAGTGCAGTACTAGTGTCGTGGTACATCACGAGTATAGTAGCATAGTGCTGTAAGAGGGTTTGGAGGAACCCGGAGCTGCTAAGGGGGTTTAGGGGGCTAGTCTTAGGATGAAGGAAGAGTCTTCAAACTGGATGGTCTTAAGTCTTAGCAGTTATCTTACCAAAACCTCGAAGTCAAGCCCCGATCACTTCCAGATAGCTACCAAGACTAAACACCAACCTACACTCCCCTCTACAATCGACCAAGTCTGAGGTCCGGTGAAGTAGTAATTACAGTAGTAGTACAGTAGTACAGTTGTAGTACGGTAGTGCAGTAGTACAGTAGCAGTACAGTAGTATGTAGTGTAGTGGTAATGTAGTAGTACAGTAGTCGTACAGTAGTACACTAGTGCAGTAGCAGTCCAGTGCGAGGGTTTAGGACTACCTGGAGCTGTTTAGCGGAGTTTGGGGATCCCCCAAAAGATATTTACGCTGCAGGGCTTAAGGTTGGGAGGCTAGGGTTTAGGGTTCCTTTACGGGTAGGGGTTAGATTCCTGATCCTCTACTCAATTAAGACTGACCATCAGCAGAAAGGGCCAAAGCAAACCACCAAGGATCCGCCCGGCCAAAACACAAACGCACTTTAGACGCCCATGACGCTGAAGACCGTCACACACCAGCTCCGAATGCTGAGCATTGAGGTTCCCTCCTCGCAGATCATCCCCTGCAAGCGGACTTCCACGATGATGACGATGACCGAGCACTCAGACCGGTAAGCTTTCCGTGGAGCCGCGCGCAGTGGTTTGTTTGCCAAGGGCTCTCCTCAAGAGGCAGCGGAACAGAGAGCCAGGCCAGCGGAGAATCTCACAATGCCACACCCGCAAACGACTAAGCTGAGTTTCAAGATCACTCTCCGTGAGATCACAGATTACAGATTATGGTGCTGCGGTGGTCACCAGAAGCCATAAAACTGATGGTTGCCTCCAGGCTACGCGAAGAACAGGAGGCAGAATACCAGGACTGTCGTTGACACAGCCTTGCAGCTTGACTCTTTCTCCCAGCTTAAAGCCTAACCCAAGCTGCAACATCGTTGGTTCAGGAAAGCCTTCGCATCGATCGGGAGCGTGCGGAGCAGGAGGCTCTCAGGCAGTGGGGGCTTCATGTTTGCACTAGAACTTCAAAGGCGATAGTCAGAAGACTGCACAGAAGAGCTGTGATGATTACAACCATACCCACAGGAATCTTACGAACTGCGGCAGTATTTGTAGTAGTCCGCATTCCAGTACAGTGTAGTGTAGTGTAGTGTAGTGTAGTGTAGTGTAGTGTAGTGTAGTGTAGTGTAGTGTAGTGTAGTGTAGTAGTAGTAGTAGTAGTAGTAGTAGTAGTAGTAGTAGTAGTAGGAGTAGTAGGAGTAGTAGTTGTAGTTGTTGTAGTAGTAGTAGTAGCAGTAGCAGTAGCAGTAGCAGTAGCAGTAGCAGTAGTAGTAGTAGTAGTAGTAGTAGTAGTAGTAGTAGTAGTAGTAGTAGTGGTGGTGGTAGTCGTCGTAGTGGTCGTCGTAGTTGTCGTCGTCGTAGTAGTACCAGTACTGGTACTCGGTGTCGTTGTCGTTGTCGTTGTTGTTGTCGTCGACGTCATCGTCGTCGTCGTCGTTGGTGATGGGGCACCAGCACCCGGCGTAAATCAGTTCTTGTCACCAAGTGCAGGGAGCAAAATCCTGTCATGTCTCCAGCCTTTGCCGCCATCTACTGTGGCTTGCCAGCAAGGCTAAAACAGGAGGAGGAGCGGAAAAAGCAAGAAGCTGAAGAGCAGGAGTCCAAAGCCAAGCAGGCGGGACACGACTCGTGCGCTAAGATTCGCCCCCAAAAAAGCCACAAGTCTCCAGCTGTGGACCAGGCTGAAGCTGCTGAGTTGGCGCGTCAGGATCACCTTTCACGAAAGCTGGATGAGGCATGGGTTGCTGAAACTGCGATGTGTCGTCGTAGTAGGTGTGCAGAGGTCATGGGAAGGGGGGGTGCGATAACCAAAGGATACATGGTTAAACTGTTTACGACGTATACGATGACACATCACATCGATTGAACCAGGCCAAGAGCATCATCACGCCGGAGCCACGCCCCCACGGAAGTGTGCCTGTCTGTTGCTGCACGTGCTTTCTGAAGGCAGTCCGAAGTCCGAAGGCTCTGCTTTCCGGAGGTTCCGTTCTCCGATCTTTTCGGTCCAAGTGACGAGGAACGTCTGAAGACAACCTCTGAGCCGGAAGCGATGAGGCGATGAGAGGCGATGGTGTCACGCAGTGACTTTGAACGCCTGGAACGGCGCCTCTTCCAGGCCGAAAGCCACCTCCAAGAGTTGCAGGCAACCGTGGATGCCCTTCAGCAGGGCCAGGGCTATGTCCCGAACCGCGCTCCTGTGCCTATCATGCGGGGCGCGGGTTTGCCCGTGGGCGCCCCGACGGGCTTTTTGAGGGAACGTTCGCGAACACCGCGGCCGACACCCCCGCCTCCCAGCTACCCGACAAGGATACCAGCTGCGACATACGGAAATGAGCACTCTGGCGAGTCCTTCGGGGATGCCCTAGTACTCCTCGTCGAGGACTTTGTGCAAGAGAATGCTTTAGATACAAAATGCAGGGAAGCACTCCTGGCCCTACCACCAGAGGTGCAGCGTGCCGTCATTAGCCAGGGCCCAGCTGAAGGACGGAATCCTTCAGCAATGGTCATGGGCAGGATAGCGAAGGCACAGAAGGATCCGGCGTTTGGCGCACCTGGTGCAGAGCTTGCGATGCCGCCGGCACCGAACGGCGAGAGCCTGCATGAGCTTGTTGAAGGCTTTATTGCTGAGCACAATCTGGACGAGAGGTGTGCCGAGACCCTACGAAATCAGTCTCCAGAGTGTCAGGAGGCGGTGCTGAGCCAGGGCCCCGCGACTGGCCGCAACGCCTCCGCTATGGTCATGGGCCGAATCGGCAAGTTCGACTCCCGACGGATATGACGCGGGCCTTCTGGCAAGAGACTAGCAAGTGACCAGAGCGCCTATCGTGAAAAGAGGAAGGCATTCCGACTGCATGGCTTTTACAGCTTGTGTTGTTTGGGCATCGAGTCGGCAGGATCTCCGATTGATAAAGGCGAGCAAAGGGAGGGCAAACCGTTGTCTATAGCACCATGGCAATGGCAAGCTCTTAGCATGTCAATGTGCTGTTCCGGCTTTCAAGTTGGCTAGCCTCCACCAAGGCCCCCCGCTGACGAAGCTGGCCGGCTTCAGTTCCAGATCCGCATTCCCGATGGAAGGCTCAAAGTGGATCCGATCAAGCCCGACTTGTTCCGTGATGTGCTCTCAGGCGGCTGAAGCGGGCATTCCGACCTGAGGACAGCATTGGCCAGGTACGGTTCGATGGTCTTCCCAGGCATCTGAGACGAAGCCTTGCCTCTTCAGGTCTATGCCTACGCCTGCGTCGAAGGTGGTGAGGCGGGGGCCACGTGGTGGCGACCCCCATGCCAGCATGCTCCAAGCCGTTTGTGTGCATGTTTTCTGCACATGATGTATCGAAAATGTGAGGACAGTGACGATGGCTTAAGATCGAAGCCTGACGATTCCCAAGAGAATGTACATAGCCAACGCCGATGCATGATATGCTATGAGAGGGACCATATCATATATGCAGTATGATATGGCACAGTCTGCTGTGGCAAATCTGCGAAAAGCAGAGGGCAGTGGCTGGCCTGCTCGGAGGCTCTGGTGACTCGCGAGTTTCGGCTTGTGGAGACCATGCCGCGCCGCACCTACGAGGCTCGAAGATGCCGAGCATCCGGTTTTGAGGGCCTGAGCTGTTTCTTGCATCTTCCTTAAGCCTATGCTACCAAGCTTCGAGTGAGGCCCCGATGAACCCTAGACTCCTAGACCTCAGCTTGCCAGCTTGAACCAGATTCTCCCCTTTCAAAGGATGCCTCCCTCGTCGCCACTGCGCGATTATTATCCTTGCATAGATAAGATCAGCGGCCACGTTTTTAGCAGGAAGATGCACTTCGATTGCCTTCCCGAGCTGTTTGCCCGTCGTGACCAAGCAGACCCGCTTGCCGTTTCTCCCCGCTCTCTGAGTGCCATCCAGATTCCCGAAAGTCTCAGTGATTGGAGGTTTCTGTATGAACATCTTGGTAAGCGACAGGTGCATATCAAGATCCAACTAACGATGTCTTACCTAATTGTTTAGAGTTTAGAGATTGAAGCCTCAATGGTGCACATAATTGTCTGCAACCTGCGTGGTGAGCGGCAGCAGATCCTCTCAGAAGAGACTTCCTTTCCCGTCGAGAAGCTCAAGGAGCACCTCGGGGTTCTGGGGCAAGGATGCTTTCTGTCAAGTATCCTGCGTGACAAAGTCATTCTTGACGATGCCACAGACCTCGCCGGCTTCACGCAGCCCGTCGAGTTGAACCTGATCCAGCATTCAAGCCAGTGGTCGCCGATGCTTCTGTCTGCTGCACATCGGCAAGACATCTCAGAGGTCGACAGCGCCCTCAGAAGTTTCGCAGATCCCAACTCTCAGGACGACAATGGTTGGACTGCACTGTGTTTTGCCGCACTTCACGGGAATGTGAACATGGAGTCTCGACCTGTCTTTGATGTTCAGCTTCCTCGAGAATTCTTCACAAGGGAAGCTCCAAGAGCGCTGTTCATGTGGGTGGTTGTCAAAATTAGGGTCCCTTTTCGGGTCCTTGTTATAATGTGGCACCCATTATTTAGGGTACCCAAAAGGGACCATAATTTGGACAACTACCCATGTGTGGTCCATGCTGAATCAAGGTGAAGCTGCTGCGCAAGGCAGGTGCTGACTGCGAGCTTGGGCCGGATGAGAACGCAGCTTTGCATTTCGCCGTGCGGGGAGGCTCCCGCATGGAAGAGTTTTCCCTGCTGTTGTCTTCTTGTGTAATAGAATGCAGGAGCCTATTTCTTTACCACCACTATTTTGGGGGTTCCTTATAATAACTATAGTATAATGGGCCCCAAAACCCTATTCTAATTATTAAGGCCCTTACATTACTGGTAGCTGCTTCCCCTCACAGCGCTCGGTCGTCAGCTCCAAGCTGCACTTTCGACGTACTTGGGATCGTAAGCTCCAAACCCCGGGCCACCCAGAGACTCCAAAACCCCTTAATTAAGGAATATACCTTAAAATATAGTAGGATCCTCAATATGATTTAAGGTATATTCCTTAATTAAGGGATATTGGAGTCTCTGGGCAGTGCCTTCAGGTTACCTGCAGGTGGTCGACTACCTCGTGGCACAGAGGCGCAGCTGCCACTTTCTTCTTGTGGACCCTCCCAGGTGTTGAGTGGGCAATGTGGTGTGATATCTGGTACAGCTCTCCGAAGTCGAGTTCTTCACAGAAGTTGTATTGTAGTATAGATATTCATCTGTTCACATCTGGCATAAATATATATATATATATATATATATATCATATCATATCTCTATATACATGTATAATGTATACATATATATATATACACATACATACATACATATATATATATATATATATATATGTACCTTTGCAGCCAGGTGTGACGTGAATGGTCCGGACAGCTACGGGGTCTCCCCTCTGCAGGCCCGGAGTCGGCAGCGCCTTTCGGATTCTCGCTGTCCCTGTCGAGTAGGGTTTAGGGTTTAGGGGTGTGGGGCTCAGGGTTTAGGGCTCAGGGTTTAGGGTTTAGGGCTCAGGGTATGAGCTTCGGTCGGTTGAAGTCTGTTGCCACCATTTTTCGAACTACTTTCCTCAGGCTGCCGCCGAGGAAGGCGACAACGAATTGGTGTCGGCATTATGCGACTTGGGCGCCGACTTGGATGCTGCGGATGACGAAGAAGTCACTCCTCTGCTGGCGGCATGCTGCAAAGGCGAGGTGTCCGTGGTACCTCGGCTGGGTTCTGCTGCGTCCTTGTATGCACTACGGTAGGAAGATATCAGAAGTTGCTAGAGACTGCGTCGGAAAACGCGTGAAGCTGTCGCAAGGTCAAGACCCTCCTGGATCGACGGGCAGAGGTGAGCAAAGTCACGCGGACCGGCGCCTCTGCGCAAAATTTGCTTCTGGGCTTTCTGGAAAGCCGGCAAACTTCTGCTGAGAAGATTTTGCAAGCTCGCGACTTGTCAGCAAGAGCCGTCCCTTCCGTCACCAGCCGTATTCTGTTGGACTTTGGCGCATTTGGAATTTCACTTTAGCTGGTTTGCGCGCAAGGTGACCTCCTTCGGGACCTTGATGGCTTGATCAGTGCTTCTCGGGAGTGTGCAGACCACGACCATGGAAGCACCAATGAGGAGGTTTGAGGGCGAGACGTGCGCACGATGACGGCTCCTCCATGTGCCGTGGCACGTCGGAGTTGCAAAGTTGTCGCTCGTTGGGAAGTGCGTCACTTCTTGCTGCAAGCAGGCCAAATCGGCACGGGGGCGTGTCAACCAGACCGCTGCAACTTCTGACATCGACGAATCTGGGCTCCAAGCCCGCCCTGCGGGAGTGTTGTGAGCGGTCGACTTGCAGTGCAGCATCTTCGCGCCGGTCTGCGTACTTGGTGGCAGCAGCATGCAGCAGCCAGTGGAGCAAGAAACAGCAATGTATGCTGCAAGACTTCTGCCCCTGTGGTTTATAGGCTGAGTTTCTGTGTACATGGATGATACCCAGTGACGTTTTGATTGAATCTGCTCTGGAATCTTGTTTCAGCTTCGCGAAAAGGATTATTGAGCTCGACACGTCTGCCTCAGATCGACAGTAAGGCAGTAAGGGTGTGTAGCGCTCTGTTGCTACCATTGTGCGAATCTGAGCATCAGTTGCTTCTGCCGGGCCCCGCAGCACCCGTGATCCTTCAGCGCAGGATCGGAGCATCACTTTGGCGGCTGCAGGCCTTAAGGCCGGGACATATCCCTGAATCATCCTGAATAGACCTAAAATCATATTAGGGATCCTATTGTAATTTGAGGTATATTCCTTAAATCCAGGGACATCCTAAACTCTGCGCCGGAGAGTTTCCGCACTTGTCGCTGGCAGGGCCAGTGCACGCTGCTCGTGGAGTTCACGGATGATTGAATCAAGGGGGTAGCTCCGATTTCCCGTATTCTACGTGGCCAGAAAATTCGGAAACCAGTTGTAAGGTTCAGTTGTAGATTGTTGCAGAAAGCAAGCTGGTTTTGGCACTGACTGGGCCACGGATTCCTTTGTCAAAGAGGGCACGAAGTGCTCTTGGCAACAGGGGATCCTCCAAAGTGGAACTTTCTAGGCAGCGAGGCGGTCCGAGTGCCCGCTCGCATGGAATAGGCTTTGAGATGTTTGAACCTCCCCGGAGCTTGTGGAACAGGATTTTGGGCAGGGTTCTGCTTTGCGAGGGATCTGGACGTGTCAGAGTTCAGATTCTTTGCACGGCCTAGTTGTGTACATAAGCCGTGTAGGTGTGCAGGATACCAGACATGTGCGTCAAGGAGCAAAGGTCCCCGAGCTTTGCCGCATTCACAAGGAAGCAGGAAGCACATTTGGCAATCTTTTGAAGAAAACGCCAGCGCATCTGGTCGTTGCTGCAGGAGGCGGCGTTTTGTTTCGCTAAATATGTCGGGCTAGGGCGATTCTTTGGACCCTGTCCCTGTCAGCTACGCGCTTCTGCGCAGCCGGGATCACTCCTCAACCTGAGACAGACATCTCCATAAGGCTGCGGCAGATTTACTGATACTCTTAGTGGTGGTAGGCCAAACTGCATGTTAGCCCAGCAGCGAAAAGCCATGGCGAAGCCGCGCCACGCCGGTCGTAGCCGCTTCATTTTGGCCGGCTGCACAGAAAGATGGGGGATTATTTGGGCGTTGTCCTTTTCCGATCTGCCCTAAACTGCAAGGCCCAAACTCGACTTATCAGAGGGCATCCGAAACAGGGCCACAGAACGCCAAGTCAAGTGCCGTGGAAGGTGCCGCCGCTGCTGCTGTTGTTCTGCTTCTGCAGCGTGACCACGGTTTTCGCTTCGCCGATCGTATCTTGGCATGTATTCAGCCCCAGGAGGTGCGAGGAAAGCAACTGTCTGTGCGTTCTGAAAGGTCTATGGCAGGTAGTGTTGTGCATACGCTTGTACCTATTGATTTCAAGACCGTATTTTAACACTTAAGCCCGGGTCCTCACATGCAAGACAAAGCGAGAGCCCGGTTTGAGTTTGGTTTGATGCCGCAGGGCCGGCGATCAGTGCTGCTGCCGGCTCTCGGCATCTTCTGCCCGCTGCCGGCCCGAGCGCAGCAGGGTCCTTGCCTTAGCGCTTTGTGCCGTATTTCAGGGTGCACCTACAGTCTTCAGTCTAGTTCCTTTTTTCGGGTTTAACGAATTTCATGAGAGGATCCGAAAAGGGAACCCCCCCCAAAAATAGAAAGGAGACTATAGGTAGGGCAGTCCTATAGGAGTTCCTCAGACGCAGGCCCGGAGGAGCGGTTGTCGCTGTACAAGGGCAAGGCAAGGGAGCGGGAACGGATGAGTTTGGTGGCTTCGAAGGGGGTTCTTCGGATTTTGGGACCTCCTTCACGAATCAATGTCAGATGGCAGAGTCATAGTCGCGGCAGCCATGGCCATTGTTCGAATCTGGTCAGAGAAGGAAGGCTTGATGATCGGTAGAAGCTTAACAGAACATTGCACTCGAGACACACAGCAATGCTCTGGATTGCCCTCTAGGCCGTGTCCGTTCGGGAATCTGCCGAGTGGTATCGCTTCTACGTCGGCGATTTGGTTTCGAGGCTGCGACTGATGTTGGGGCTCGAGAATGTGCCTTAGCCACGACAGTTTTCCCACTACCCACGACTCCAAACCACCTATCCCCGACAAGGTGGGGCTCGGCCCTTGTTGCTTGCTGTCCTGTCGTTTTGTGCAATGCAAGCGGGCCATCGTGTCGTGGTTTAAGGCTACCATGCTTCTCGAGCAGCTGGCCAGTGTATCTTTTGTAAGACACATGTTCATTAAATGCAGACTTTTGTCATTGTCTGTCAAAGCATTAATGTTGCCGGAGCTGCAGTTCGCCAAATTTCGCCTTCATGCCAGGGGAAGCGGTGAAGATACCAGGGACGGTCTCAAGGCCAATCAATGTGTGTGTCAGCTGCGACAGATATTCCGCGAGTTTTTTGTCGCCTTCATCTTCGTGCGCTTGGCAGGTCAGTGACGAAGACTGCGGTGGCGGGCTGTGCCTTGCCGGCCAGGCCCCCGCACTGGATCGTCGGATTTTTTCAGTGCATCCCCGAACTTTTGTCAGGCATTGCTATATAGTGAGCTAAGCGGAGGCTTCAGCTTCGTAGCATTGGCAGGCTCTGTCGGAGCTGCAGCGGATCGTGACTTCAGGCACGAAATTCCCTCACGAAGGGATCTCGGGGCAAGCGATCGATGTTGAGACGGGTTACACAGGAGCCGTTCTTTTGCTCAGCAGACCAGCTCAGAGTGGGTGGAAGGGCTTCTCGGTATCTGCTCAAAGTGAGGGTGTGCCGAGTGTCCCAACGTCTTGCAACCTGATTGGCCAACTTGCGCCGCTACGTTTTATGGATCAGTGGATCGAGACAGGGAACGACTTCTTCCGGGGAAGCAGCCCAGTGCCCAAAATCCTCATCCTCAGAAGTGCCTCAGCAGGATCAGGGCCCGGAGGTGGACTCTCGCAAGTAGAGCGCCGCTCATCTGGATTCAGGTCTTATGGTTACGGCCGAAGGCCTTTGCTAGGATGGAATCCAGAATCTTGCCTGACTAGCTTGATCTTTTTGTAGGCACCGGTGCATGTAGTCACGAAAGGCATGTGCAGAGGGTATGCGCATTGAACCTGGCTTCTACTAAGCATTTCCTGTACGTTGTGACATGCTGAGCACAGGGCTGGGACACGAGGGGGTTTTCGCACCTGCTGCAAAGCGCGCATAACTGTGACGGAATTACCCCTCTTGCCAACTCTTCCGTGCAGATACCGAGGTGCGCTGACCACACCGCTCTTCTTGTCCGGCACTTGTATCCAGAGTGCAAAGCACATTGACTCCGCAAGGGTCAAGAATCCTGTGCGACGGAACCCGGTAGTTTTCAGTAGTATGATTCTCAATGTACCTCGCCTTGCATAGGACAAAGGGTATCGGGAGCAGCCGGAATCCACCCCGGATTTCCACCTGAACCCATCGTAAATCACTCCTCTAGCTTACCCCCTCGCCATTCCACCCTTACCACCACTCAGAAATTCTTCTAGTATTGGGGCCGAAATGATTACCAACACTATTTTGGGGGGCTCCTTACTAAAGTTCAAGCAGAACATACCCCAAAGCGCTATTCTAATCATTAAGGCCCTTATATTAAGTGCTAATTTGTTACCCCCCAAATAGTAGGATCCTTATCATAAGGACCCAGAATACTAGTAAGGTAGCGCTAATGTTCGGAAACTCTAAATCCTTACAGTACCCTTTAAGGGAACCCTTATAGTAGTACCCTCATAAGTAGCCCTTTAAAGGAACCGTTATAGTACCCCTATGGTAACCCTTTAGAGGAACCCTTAGAGTATCCACTATTTTTCGGAAACTCCTACATCTCCTCTTGGCCGAAGGATGGTTGGCTTCGAAGTTTGGGATCCAGACTCGAGCTTTGAGCCTCGCCGGCAACCACGGGGGGTTGTTATTTGGGGCGCATGAAGGGGGTTTAGGGTCTTAGCGTGTTTAGGGTTTTCGGGTTTAGGGTTTTAGGGTTTAGGGTTTTCGGGGATGGGAGTTGAGCTTTACACGGTAGTACTGCCATCTTGCTGGGGGGTTTTCGAAGCCCAAACTCTTTAAGTTTTCGGGCGCCGCAAGTTGCTCACGGCTGCACGATGGAGAAGCACTCCCCCTTTGTTCCCACCCCCAAAACCGAGACCGAGTCCGAAAAGTCTAGTGTCTTGACACTTAGAAACCTCTAAACACTCAGCCGTATCCCTAAACCGTAATTCCTGAAATGGTGTTTGGACCTCAGGGTGATGAGGCCAGAAAGGCAGCCGGGAAATTCCAGGCGACCATCAATGAACTGCGACACTTGGAAGGGTTTTGGGCACCTTGCTGAGTGAGTTTTATGTTGATTTGCAATCATATGTGGCCTATGGGAGATGCTAAGGAGGCAAGCTGAGCGAGCGCAAAGACGCCGACGTGGCCAGCAAATTGTACAGGACTGATACCACATATAGTACATTTCTGGTATGCAATATTTTTTAGAGCGTATATAGTACCATGCCTGCAAAACATATTACGTTTCTGTGTTTAAGTATCGCATACAACATGTAAACACCCTTCAGAAGATTTACGAACTGATATATACGTATATACATCATACATATATATATATATGATGTAGTATACAGTATACGGGGCTCAAGTCCCCTGGAGGCCAGAAAACAAGAGAAAAACAATCGAGACAGCAAAATAAGAAATTTGCACAATAGGTCTCTTCAACTTTCGCATGTTTGGTTTTTTGTTAGTCGCACGGCTGCCCGAGGGGCTCAATGTGATTCGACACACGTCTTTTAATTCATAGCATAGCCTCGGACATGTAATTTATGACATATGGCAGAATGTAGTTTTACATTATACAGCATAGTGCGTATACGCTACATTGCACATAGTATATACTTTCATGTGCACAGCATAAAGCATAGTATACTCGATATAGTACATATCACACAGTTTGTAGGGTATAGTGTATCGCACAGAATACAGCTAGAGTTTAAACGAATATTGAAGTATCATATATAAGATATATGCAATCTACTGGTGAACCTTTCCCCTTGCAGCTGGTGTTTCGTGCGAAGGAAGAGCTTGGAGGAGTTGAATGACTTCTTTCGCATCGCAAACGACTCTCGCATGTGCAACGAGATTACCTAACAGGTTACACTAAGTGTTCCATAGAGATCTACGGCGGTTCTATAAGGTTCTGCCTAAGTTAATGGCAAGTTGGAGGGGTGCATGCTGAAGGGCTTTCCAGCTCGAGCTGCTAGATCCAGGAGGCTCTTACTTGTTCTGTACGGCCTTCGCGCGCCTTGCTTTTCAGGAAGCTGGTGGAGTGAAGCCTCAGGACGTGTCTGGGCTGCATGTCTTAGGCCGCCGTAGACTTGTTTGGTTCTTTGTGTGCCAAACCTCAAGGGAAGCTGCCCGATCCTAATGGCTTTCCTAGCCCCACGCCCAAATTGACGGGCTAAGCTGTCGAAGTTGCTGGACTCATCCATCAGATGCACAACAGCCCCTTTGTTGAAGCCATGGTTGCCCTTGAATGCAGCAGACTCGTCGATAGTCTACTAACACCTGACCTTCCGTTTGCTGGATCGGAGGCAGGATGGCCAATACATCAATACTGTATGCGTCAGTAAGTCACATTGTCAAGACATAGTATGGAGCAAAGACTGACTACAACCTGAATCCCACTCCGCAGGTGGAGTACCTGCCACAGTTGCCCTTGACCAAGCAGGAGCTGGACTCTTCAGAGTACTGGAAGGCTGCCACTTGGCTTTCGTTCCACTGTCACAGGTTGCCTTGTCGGCTTTCTTTTGGGGAAAGTGGCATTGGAATGAGCACGAAGCCCTTCATGGCAAGAAGCTTAAGCTTATTTGCAGCAGCGCATGCTGAAAAGACCGGCGTGATTGCCATGCATCCAATGCCGAGGAACGGGTTGCCTTCGATGAGGCAAACGACCCGGTGCGCATCTTTCAAGAGCGGCAGCTGTGCCGAGATAAACGGCTGTGAAGGGATAAAGCTTTCTGGAGTGACGTGTTCGGGCTTTGCAACGATCCTCAAGGAGTTGCTGCCTGTTGCCTGGGCTTAAGCTCGCAACTGCTTGGGTTTCCAAGGAACGCATTCGGATCTCGGGACCTGCGCCAGAGCCTGAAGCGCTTCCCTGGAGCAACGCTGCTGCTCCGATGATCTCATATGAACGCGTGTTCATTGGTCCGACGTTTGTTCCGGACGTAATTTTGTTTGATGGCATTTTGCGGTCATTTTGGACCTCTGCCGTCTCTTGCAGCAATTATGAGGCCAGTTGGCCCGAATTCGTTCAGGCTTAAATTGCCGACTTGTTTCTTATGCGACCAGAAAGCACGACTTCCTGTGAGGGTGTCATCGTTCCGTGCTCTGTTGGCCTGAGGGGTCTTAATAATTAGAACAGGGTTTTGGGGCCCACTATACCATAATTCCATGAAGGAAGCGCCGAAATAGTATAGGTAATGATTATAGGGCCCCTATTACGCTTCAACTTCAGCCTATGGCTCTAGAGACGAAATGTCAAACATGATCATGCACGCAAAAACTCGTCTCAACTCGAGGCTGTTGCACCAGGCATGACCCTAAGACTTCCTGAAGCTATGATAGCAAAAAGTATGGCAAAACGCACATGGATGAGATTCGATTAGATGCAAGCCTCCCACGCCCCGCACCATTCGCAACCTGCACCAGCCATGATCCGGCAGAGGCGTTCCATTTTGAGCCAACTCCTCAGTCAGACTCGCTGGTAGGAAGCCTGAGCACTCGTGAAATGTTCCGACTGCGTTTGTTATAGATCACATTATGTTTGCAGTTCTCTGAATGAGGGTCCTTTCTGGGTCCCCAAATAGTGCGGCATCCTGATACAACCGGACACTAAAATACCCTCAAAGGGATCCTATTCTACAGAACCCCCCATGTGTCTTTACAACACTTTGCAGCTGCTGGCAACCCTGTCCGATACCCGGACCCTCGATGTTTTTTGTTTGTGGGATCCGCCGCGTGCATGTAGCCACCCAGCAATGTAAAATTGAACGACAGGAGGAAGAAGGTGATGGAGCGCTTGCAGTCGTGCTGTTTTTGAGCGACACCGCACGTGGCAGGGTTTCTCACGACTCGACGGAGTATTGCAAGCCCTCATTCAGACTCGTCTACCCCGGCACTCTGGTAGCGGTGCACCCCAGCATCGGTGCAAAGACCACAATTTTTGGCACTGCCAACGGCCTGCGGATGCCTGCGTGAGGTGCTCTCATTTTTGTTCCATTTGCCTCCGTCGCCTGGCATGCCTGGGGCTTCACAGGCCGATGTGATCATTAGACGCAAACCTGAAGTTTTTTGGTGGCACACCGGGCCAAACAAAGACCCGCAGAGGGTTCCCTGAAAGGAGCGTGGTCATCTTACCGAGGAGGCCTCCTGCAGCTCATGTCACTCCTCGTGGTTATTGTCTGTAGGCCTTGTGCATCCCGCTTGCCCGCCCCTGGCACGCAGGCGCCGGCACCACCGGCAAGCCCTTGACGGCGCGTGCAAACCAAGCAGATCCATACACTGCCTGGGTCCCATGTGTCAGCTTCCGTGCCGACTGTAGCCCCCTGCAGTGTCTTCAGTTATGTCCTAAGCATGCATCATCATCATGAACCTGAGCTCGCATGTCGGAACCGGGGCATGAGATACTTGCAATTATAGCATATTGGACCCCAAAACCCTATTCTAATTATTACCGCCCCTACGTAATAGTACCGTTATAGTATCCCTCACAGAAACCCTTATAGACCCCTTTAAAAGGAGCCGCAGTCCAATTTTATATGACGGCATGGAGGTTTTGGGACTTCCTCCCGGCACTGCGGACGAAGACGCAGTTCGAACGGCCTTCCGCCGTCTTGCAAAGGTGCAACGTCGAAGACTGCTGATGATCATCATCATAATCATAAGTAACAATGATGAAGATAATGAAATACGAATATTGAGAATGCCGAGAATATTGATAGCAAGGACAACAACAACAATACTAATACCAACAATGATGATACTAATAATAGCAACCAGAAAGATGTCGGAATAAAGCAGGGGCTGCACGATGCTTGAGCGAGCTACCGATGTCCGAGTTTTTTGAAGGGGCTTAATACTTTATCTATGTATATAAATAGATATGTGTATACATACATATATATATATATATATATATATATGTATATAGAGGTTGGAAGACTTAGTAGTCCTGTCCCCTTTTGGTCCTGTAGAACTTTACAAAGCTAAAGCATAGTATCCCCGATTAATCTAGCATCAAGACCCCTTTGTCAAACAAGCACATTGAACAAGAGCGCACTTTATACAGCGTTTAAGAAGTCTGTCAAAGTGCCGTGACTTTTTTGGGAGCTCTTGTCTTGCTGCTGCATGCCAGCTGTGCAGGTTTATCACCCTGATGTGCCGCAGACTGGAGACATCATGAAGTTCCAGGAGTTGCATCCGTGCCAATCTGGATACTCCTGAAAGGCATGCGATCCGTTCGATAATAGCTGCTTGGGTTCAGGAGATACAGACAGCGGCGCAGCAGCTCATAACAGGACACTGCAACCTGCCGAAGCTGTGGTTGCTACAGCTTACAACTCCTTTAAAGATGTGATGCAATCAGGCCCCAGAGGCCTTGGCTCCGGCCCAGAGCTCCGAAGTGCTGGGAAGTCCCCCGAGGACGCGCTCCGGGTGCTGCCTGGGATGCCAGCTCCCTGGAGCCGCCTGGGCAGAAAAAAGGTGTGTGTTTTGATGAAGCTTCGAAGACTTTGGCTTGCGGGCTGGTTTGTGTGTTTTTGGAGGGTGCCGAGTTGAGCCAGGGAGAAGCTTTAGTTGGAGGGGGTCAGCAGCAGGTTTCTGTCACTGAAGGGGTGCTGTTATCAACCATTCAAGGTCAAGCCGTGTGCCCCGTGTGCTGCGTTTGATGTGCCTGCAGCCGGTGGTGGGAAAAAGCGAGCCCAGGAATCTCTTCACGGGGAGCTCCACTCATGTCTACTCGTCAGCTGCGCAGAGGCCCTTGGCGATGCGGCAAGACTTCCCTCTTGACTCCGGCACAAGGTAGTTCCAAGAGAAGCTGCTTTCTTATTTGGACAGGCCACCGTCCACAGCGCATCAGCCACTGCAGCAAGCTGACTTCGCAAGTACCCGGAATGGGAGAGTGGACGCCGTGTCAGCACATCTTAGCACAATCTAGAAGCTTCCTCGGATGGCCGCGCCTGCACTTGCGGTACCATACCACGACAGTCCTAGCAACTTCGGTGCTCTTGACTGATGCGAGACCGGTACTGACCGAAGGATATCGCCTACTGCGCCAGCATGCGCGACTCAAGCTTGCGCAAGACTGCGAGGCTGGACAGGCCTGCCCCCCGGCGTCTGAGTCCGACGAACATGCTGATTGTACTCCTACTACAGTGGATATGCCAAGAGTAGCAGGGCAACAAGCGTAGGTATAGCCCTGATGATGCTGGTGTTTGCGAAGTGGCTTCTGCTAGTGTGGCGTTGCACTTCAGAGGATCACCCTCCAAGCGTCAGCGGAGACGCTCTCTAGAGTGCCTCAGCTTCATCAGGAGGTCAAGAGTACTTCTCTCGAAGGAAGCAAAGCTGAAGGAGTGACGTGGCCAGCAGTGCTGCCTTGGAGGTTCAGCGGGTGCTGACTGAGATGTCGGGCACCACAGCGGAGCCGTCGATGCCGCTTCCCATGGTTGGCTTTATTCTGGAAGGGCACACCCACAGCATCGGTTCCCTGGCTGCCAAGCGGATCTCCTGGAGGCCCTGCGGAGTGCAACACTTGGAGTGAAGGTGAACAGCAGGTCGCTAACATTGCCATGGCACTGGAGAAGGACGTTGGGATTCCGGAGCAGCTTCCGTGCAGGGTTTCGGAAACTTGAAGACGGTTCTCCGTGGAGGAGTTCGGCATCGAACTCCTGACCATCCTCGCCGGCACATGGATCAACTTCCCCATGCCCGTGGAACTCCAGACAGTGAAGGAGCTGAGGGTGTCTTTTGGGGCCAGCTGCTTTCCAGCTTTTGTCGGCATGCTTTTTGCCACCATATACTCTACTCTTAGGACTTGGCCGACTTTATCGCAACTTGACTGCAGTTGGCGACCTGTCGCATGGCAACCGGAGCGCCACCGAAGCCCTGCCCAGGAGAGCAAATTGGCAGCCTGAGGGATGCAGCCATCACTTTGGAGTAGATCGCTGCTCCTCTGTTCAGGGGCAGCTTTAACCCAATCTTGCCCAGATGTGACTGGCATTTTTGGTTCCCTCCTTTCAGGATGCCGAGACCTGCGACCTGAGCATGCATGAAAAAACGTGCAGGCAGAAGTACGGCGGGAGATTTAGATCTGAATCTCGGACGTGCATGCAAATCGCGCTTCATGTCATTAGACACTGCCGGCTGCAGCGTACTCGTAGCCCGAATTAGCATTAAACATGATGGTCAAACATCAGCCTCCTGCGAGGAGCGATCAGTCATCAGACTCTCAGCTAGGTTCCAGGATATCTGCCGTGTAACCCACGAGTGTCTGAGCTACTTGTAGAGAGGTGCAAGGACTGCCTCCTGTCTAGAAGAGGTTTAGCAAGAAGGTCATGGCAACAATATCGCGCATGAGATCGGCAAAGACTGCTTCTACAGTAGATCCTCTGAGCATGGCCGAGAAGGTAGTGCCAGAAGCCTCTCGCTGGGGGATTTCTGCGAATGAGCGAAGAGTCCGACACGTCCTCAAGCTCGAGCTCTAGCAGCGACTCCCGAAGCGAAGGCGAAGACGTAGAGGTGCCGGACGTAGAGGCGCCGGCCTCCGATGACGAGGCTGAGCCTGCAGATCCAAAAGCTGTCGTTCTGGAAAAGGGGGAGGCGGGAGACGATCTCCATCCAGAGTATCCAGACGACGAGTCAGAAAGGGAGGAAGCGGTTCAGACCAGAACAGCCATCATGAAGGAGAGAGCCGCCAAAAAGGCGGCATCCACGATGTCTCTGTCTCGCTCCTGGACAAGAAGAACTTCAGGCAAAACAGACAGCCCTCGCTCTCCGAGGTCGCCAGGGCGTGACTGGGCAGATGGCGCCGATACCTTCTCTCCCAAGCGAAGCGAAAAAGAGCCCAGTGATGCAGGCGAGCCCAGCGGCGACGGTGGCCCGAGCCCTCGCCGCCGAAAGTTACGCTTTTGTGGCTGTGGATTCCTCTCGCGGTTCCGGGCCCGCTGGAAAGAGCGCTGTGGAGCCTGCTCAAGGCGAGTCGCACGCTGCTGCAAACCTTGTGTTCGACTCTTCAGACTTTTATCCTGGCTTTGGGCTGGGTTTGAGTCCAGATGCAGGCATTTGGCTTTTGCCATCCGTTGCCTTTGCTGTCCCCTCGTCCTTTTGCTGGCAATATCCCGCTGTTGCTGCGGAAGCTCAGATTCCGACGAAACAAGATCAACTTCGCGCTCAAAGCCCGTGAGGAAGAAAAGCGCACGCTCGATGTCCCGTGGCTTCTCCCGCAGCGGCAGTATGGCCGCAGGCCGCTCGACAAACAGGAGTGGCACCTCCATCCGTTTCTCCCAAGGCCCCAGCCACCAGCCCAAGAGCACCATCAAATTGACACATCCTCGCAGCTCGCCTCAAGCCGACGGGCAGGTTCAGAAGAAGGCCTCCGCAAGGGAGAGGTTCCGAGAATTGCGCCGGGAAATGACCTCTGATGCTGCAGAGCTGGAGCCGGAACAGCGTGGCACCCTGCAGCGGGGCCAGAGCGGCCTGAGGGCTTCGAAGTCTTTCATGGCCAAAGCACTTGCCCGTGGAGACAGCAGCTTCTCCGAGGCTCCCGAGCCGACGGGTCTCGCGGCCTTGGATTGGACGGCCTGGTTGCCTTGGAACTGGGATGCTTGGCCCTGCTTCAACACTTGTACCAGGTAATGTATTTACGTACGTGCGTGCCAGTTGCATGCCTGCATGTACGGAGATAAGTAGATACAGGTAGATCTGTATGTATGTACGTATGTATGTATGTATGTAATCACACACACATACATATAAATGTATGTATCTACATACAAATGTGTATATGTGTTTATATCATAGCACACACTAATATGCATTTTGCGTGTATGTAGGCTTGTATAGAGAGGGTACGTTGCTTTTTATTACAGTTGTGGGTTCAGCAGCTTCGGGCCCTTGTTTTTGGAAGGTGCCTGTTCCTTGACCGCCCCACACGAACTTTGTCCTTCCCAGGTTGGGGCTAGGAGATGGTTGGGCCAAAGCTGCGAATCACTTTCGCTTTCCCTTCTTGCCCTAAACCCCTCCTGAATCCTGCACATCTCTCAGCGTTTGCTTTGTGCGAGTTGCTCGATTCGAGGCATTCATTCAGCCTGCTTTTGTCCCGAAACCTGGTGATGCGTGTGACGCTGCACGAACTAAGGGCTCCACCTACGAGGTTTGGAAGGACTCCCGCATTGAGATGTGGTCTAATCTTGAGAAGATTCTGGATGAAATGGACAAGGAAGACCAGAGCAAAGCAGATGTTATACGATCACCGCTTCAGAGAAAGTATGTCCGTGCCTGGCGCATTTTCATTTTTGCCTATTGGGATCCTTTCTTGGATCTTCTTCCCACTTGGAAGACGGCACTTGCCATCTTGATGAGCTCTCTGATGATCATTCCCATCTCCGGCTTTGTTGTAGCATCCGTTCTACTGGTGTCCAGTCTTCTACGCAACATGGAGTATGTTGAAGGTGACTGTCAGATAGAGGCGCTGCCGGATGCATTTGTAACCAAGAAGGGCGTGGTGACGGAAGTTATTGGGACCTACCTCATCCGCCGCTTCTACGGTGCCTCTGCCGAGCGAACCGAGGGCTTCGTGTTGCAGCCTTGCCAGATTAGCGTGCCCTGTGAGCATGAAGACATTGCCCGCACAGGCTTTCTGGAGAGGGAGAAATGTGACAAGTTTCGAATTTGGGCCTGGAGGGATCCTGTGACTTGCTATTATCATCAGGAGGATGAGTATGGAAGTGCCGCTCGGGACCTCCTTTGCCTCTCTCGGCCTAGTGACCTTCAAGAAGAGATCTTCGGGGTCGTTATTGCCGGTGCAGCAGTGCTGGTGGCGATTCTGATCGTCATTGTGGTGCTGATTCGCCGGGCGCTCGACAAACGGGAAGCGCAGAGGTTCCAAGAAGAGTGGGAGCGTGAGCTGGAGAAGCAGAGGGCAGAAGCGGAGGAGCGCGAGAAGGAGGAGGAAGCTCGGAGACAAAAAGAGGAAAGCCAAAGGCAGGCAGATGCACATGAAGAGATGGAGGACATCGACGATGCCGATTGGGGACCCGACAAATCAAAGTCCTTCCATAAACAGAACACGAGGCTGACACTGACGATGTTGCACCAGGCGACCCAGTCGGAGTCCTTTTCTGTTAGTGCGGCCCCATCAGAGTCTGTCTTACAGTCTGGTCGAACTCGATTCGTTTCTGCACCTCCGGTATAGAGGACGACCGATCCTCTCAAGCCTGTAGCTAGTTGAATTTCTGCAAAACTTTTTCAGCCAGCCGCCATCGCGGCTGCATTGCATTACCTTGCTCTGCTGCACGGCCATGCTGAGACTTTAAGTGCGGCTGCCCGTGCTGTAGCCACAGCAGTGTAGACTCTGGCCAGCACCGTCTCGCTGGGTCGCATTATCTTACAAGCCGCCGCCTAGTATGATCCTTGTTGCTCTGTGAACATGTTTTGGTTATGATTCTATGATCGCCTGGCGCTGAGATGCTGGCTGTACTCACGCCTTCTGCCGTATTGCATCTTGCACTTCACAGGCCAAGCCTCTCGCAGTGCAGGTGGATGGCGATCTGCAGAACAGCCTGTCACTGCCGTTGCTTGACAGCCAAGCTCAAGCTTCTGTGGTGCAATTGTACGTGCCCGACCTTCAGGAATGCTGGGTAGCCGGTGAATCGTGTCTTGAGTCATTTGGAGGGATTTATGTGCCTTCTCGTCACATGTGCGACTTCAGTGCAGTTACACCTCCGTGAAGTCTGAAGAAGGAGGTGGCACTAACATACAGTAACAAGACTGCATGGGTACTGCAGAGTGCGTTTGAGAATCGACAACGCCAAACTGCGAGTGGACACAGGAGCTCTTGTGCAAAGCCTCTTGCGTGGCTTCTGGGCCCGAGCTTTAGAGGAAGTGGGTAAGTAATGCAGGGAGGCTGCTGAGACGACCCACCACCCCTTGGGGTGTGGAACCACAGAGTGACTCGCCTGCAGCTGCTATTCCGAGACCGAGCCATGCCGGCTTTTTCTTGACATGACAGGCCGGGTCTCTCCAGGTGACAAAACGCCCCAGCCTCAGATATCCAAAGCTCTGCGGCTCTTGAGTTGAAGCCGGAAGCCGCCACATCGCAGGTTGTCTGGGAGGTCATGGCGGTTGCCATTCCAAACCTACCGGCTCCCACCGCCGCGGGCAAGCCGGACCGGGGCCCCGAAGAAGTGCTCGAGATGAGGGTCGTTTGTGCCAGATTCCATAAGCCATCCTAAAGCCACGGCAGCAGTTGCAGAAAGCCAGATTTCAATTCAGTCCGGTTTGTACTTTAAAGGTGAAACAGACAACATGGCTGATGATGTGCGGATCTGTGCCACTACGGAACTCGAGAACTCAACAATTCGGAGAGCGATGCTCCGAGTGGCATTGGAAGTTGATCATCAAATCCCAAACGGAGGGTTCACGTGCATCTTACGCAGACAGCACTCTTGCTCCATTTCTCAACTTCCCCCTCCATTTCAAAGACTTTGCGCAGCACCCAGCTCCAGGAGAATGTGCAAACCACAACCCACAGCAACTGATGCGGATCGGCAAAAGCTTCGGTTGGGAAGACCGGTGGCGCAAAGTCAGTCGGGAAGTTACGGCGTGATCTTGGGCCAAAGCACTGCAGAGGCAGCCAAGATGCACGGAGGAACAGCTGCTGCCGATCAGATCCCTTTGCGGCTTGTGCCTCGTCTTTCTCTTTTTCTGCAGCTGCGCACGTTCTCGGCGAAGCTGCTCCTCAGTCAAAAGTTCTCTCACAGCATCCCCGCTGTTGACAAGCCTGACGAGATTCCACCAGACAACTGTGCCGGCGTCAACCGGAGGTGCTGTGGCGTTGGGTTTCGAGCGGCTGCAGTGTCTCCGCCCATGATGGTACCTCACTGGGCAAGCTGGCCTGGAGCAAGCGGGACGTTAGCACGAACGGCCTGGGCTCCCTCCAGAATTCGTACGTGCTGGGAGAGCTGCATCCGCAAGACAGCGTCCATGATGATGCTGGCCGACGAACCTGTGCCAAAGCAGTTAATTACATCATTGATTTGTGTAGCTGTGAGTCATGGTGTCCGGTTGGCTTGTAAAACGGTAAACAGAATTGATTCGCATGGCCGCGCAGTGTCGCATCGTCCGCCTCGGCCCGGTCATAAGTGCAAAGCAGTCTCCACGTCAGGGGCAATCAGGTTCAGAGTGCGTAAGAAAACGAATGTGGGGCGGGGGGCAGGGGAGGTTCAAGCTTCTGAGTCCCACCAGTATTCGGGCATGTGCTTGGCGGAAAGCATTTGGTGGTCTCCTAGTGCTGATTTCTTACGGGTCTGGTGGGATTTGCTGCGTAGTCTGATGGTGGTCCTCATGGTGATCATCCTGATGGTCGTTTGCGCTGGTCGTTTTGCACTTTGCTGATGTGGGCATTGGCATGCAATACAAGTATTTTGCGTCATGAGGCACATACGTACGGGTTTGGGTCGGTTTGGGAGCTCAGTGAAATGGTACAGTAGCACCCGTAAACTCGACGGCTGTGGTCTTCGTGCTAAGCGACGGGGAACGGGCACTCAAGGACAATCTAAGCCAGCTGACCTCCCATCTTCAATCGGGAGTTATGTCAACATCTTAATGCCGAGCCTGAATGTGGAGCTTGCTGCAGGACTTCCACACACTAGCCGCTGCCCTAGTTGTGTTCAATTTTTGCAGTGATCCCTGCATTGGCCGCCTTGTGTCTAATTACTTTGGTGCGTTGGGCTCTTTTGGCAAAGCATTCTGATGGTTTGCATGAGCCAGGTCCTATCGTGCAATCGCGATGGCATGGAAGCGTTGCGAAAAGGACAGTCCAAAGCTGTGCATCTCCCAGACTTGCGTGGGAAGGTCTGCTCGATAGTGATCCCGGTGCAGAGGGCAGTGGCGGGCTTGCCTGAGGCGTTCGAGCAGTTCAAGTATGCGGAAGCCGTTCTTATAGCAAACCAGGCTGAAAGATTTGGCCTCAGAATTGTTCAGTCGCGACATAGTGTCTACGTTTTGCAGAAGGCTGTCCACGGCGCATTTGGCACTGCAGTTTCGCAACCCATGGCACTTTGAGCATTGGCTAGTTACTAGTTCAGGGTCGCCTTGCCTTGCTGCAAAGGTGGCACAAGCCTAGCAGCTGCTGGATCCTCATCCTATCTCACAGTGAAGCCGACTTTGCCGGAAAGATCAGTGATGTGACGCAAACCAATATCAGGTGACCTGCAACAACCTGGGCTGCTACTATAAGAAGGCTGCTCGCTCTTTTGGCAGAGTCGCTTGGGACGTCGCAACACAATTTCCAATTCCCATGCAGCTACGAGACATTGTGAACTCAAGCGTGGAGTGTCGTTCCGAAATTTGGAGGTTGGAAAGCTGCATGGTGCTTTGAGCTATCTTCGAAGAGCCCTGCAGATGGAGGCCATGCTTTTCTCGTTACTTGCAGAGCTTTGTCCTCGCCCGTTTTGCTGGAAATAACCAGAGATGGCTATGCTTACCGCACAGTTTGTGCTGGCTTGCAGGTGGACTTGGGCACTGATGAAGTCACGCTCGCAGGCTTGAATGCAAGGGTTGACGGTTGACTGGTGTGATTTTGATGCCGCACAGTGCCGGTGGAATTGACGAAACAGAAGATGAGGAGCCTAATGGCCTAATGCAAGGAGAATGCAGGGCATCAGGCATGCACCTAGAGCACGGACCATGGACGGTACATTCGTTTTGCAGGCACTCACCTGAACATCTGCGCGATCCTCTCGAAGTTAGAGAAGCACGACAAGGCCAGTCCTTCACCCTAGCCCTGCTCGCTTGCAGAGCTTTCAACGCCATGTCTGGGATCTGGAGAGGCGGTTCAGCATGCTCTACAAGCCTTGGAGCTGATCGATCGGTGTGCCCGGCTTCGTGGGACGGCGTTTTCCTAGGTTTGGGACGCGCAATGTGGGACCCTTTGCCTTACCTTAAGCCTTAGTTCAGCAGTCGTAACTGTCGTTCCTGTTCTTCGATAGCGAGGCGGTGTAGAAGCTGCAACATTCACTGCCAGGAAGACGAGCACTGCAGATCCTGCAGATGTTTCAGCAGACGGTTTCTCAGACTTTGAACGCTCAGACTTTGAACGGCTTGCCTGGCCTATTGCTGGTCAGAGACCATGAGTTCTAAGGACGATTACTCAGTTCTCGCCATTGCGTGACCCCAGTTTGTAGACTACAGTAGTCGCCAGCGTGCTGTTGTGTGAATGGGCCTGAAGGGTAGGTTGCCGTTGAGGCACCACAGCCGGAATTTGGAGGTACCACAACGTGGCCGTTGAGCGAGATTTGCTGCAGCAATACGACAAGGCGGCAGCTTTGTCGTAGCTGCTGTGCCCACACCTTGAGCGCACGAGCTCTACCCGAATCGCTCTACACAGCTTCCCTGAGAAAGGCAGCAGCAGCCTTCTTCCAGGGCTTTCAGGCTGTGAGCTGTGCTGCCCAGTTTGGAGGCCCAGGGCCCTCCCCGTCTCCTTGCAGGTGGCCAAGCGTTGCCTCGGCGAGGCCGAGCGGTCTGAGATGACCTCTTACAGCGAACGGTATCAAGAGTGGTGCGTTGGGGGATTCCTTCTTTCAAGAACCAAGATTGCAAAGACCGGACTCCTCGAATTCAAAGAAAGCACTTGAGACAGGACCATCCGCTCGCCGTCACGCTGGGCAAGAACGCAGAAGCAGTGCTCCTCAAATCTCAGAGGCCTGGCTGGTTGCCCTGTGCTTAGGCAGTTTCAGGCACACAGGCTCGCCATTGCCGGAAGAGTAGGAGTCTGAGGACCCCTGAGAAAGAGGATGGACTGTCAGATCCATCCCGGGCCAGGATGACCAAAGTTAGCTCTGCAACAGCTACGGCGCGGAAGCCAGTGAAGGAGCCCGACGGTTTGTAGCCTTCCAGGCTCGGTTTAAATTTAAGATACCAAGTTCAGGCTGTAAGGTGGCATCGCATCAGACGAACAGAGCATGCTAGCTGCGCAACTAGTAACTAGTATTATACTCAAGGCAGTATCTTGGACACCGGCAGCATCGGATCATGAATTCTAGTCCTACGACGAGTAGGTCATGCTTCCGGCATGCAAGCTGTGCCGGATTGATGTAACCTGACAGTCTTGTTTTAAGCCTTGTTCCCGACTCTGTGCAGTTGAGGATGTAGAGTAGGATGCTTATAGGTTGAGACGAGCATGACTGGTTCTGAAGATGCTTAGCAGCGCCAGCTGCTGAACGCCGAATCAATTCTCCAGCTGAGCGAACACTTTATATCGGAATGGGCAGAGCTGCTCTGGAGAACATGGATGACTAGTCAGGATTAGTCGTGGTCGGGCAAAGGACAACGTGTAGTAATTGTCGCCGCCCACGTTCGAGTCCCAACACTGCGACTGGGGCAGGATGCAGATCTGGAGCGCTTCACAGCAGGGATGACGGACAGCCCGTCTCTGCTGAGACCCCAGTGCCGTAGTGCGTCTCGAGTGCACGTCTCAATATCGGGCGCATGGATTGCTTGGGAGTTCATCAGCAATCCGTAGCTCATAATTGGCAGCAGATGATGCCGGGGTCTGTTAGCGTACGGCAAGTTCACATCACTCGTTCTGACTTGTGTTGTTGATTTCTGACTCTCGACGTGCAATGACCAGCATTGGAGCAACAACATAGCACTGACTTTGCCTGCATTGCCTACAGTTCTGCTACGTTCTTGCTTGCACTGCACCGTGGGGCCACTCTGCCTGCTCACCCTTTGCGAGTGGCACAGCAGAATGTGCTGAGGCCAGCTGTGCCGTCGGCCAAACCTGAGACAGAAGTCGAGGAGGCACTTGCATGTGAACGCACGAGAGAGGACAGGCTTCAGCGACACAGGTGTTTGCGGGAGTGCCTGTGTTTCTCTCCAAGTTTCGAGGTTGTCGAAGGATCTCCTGCAATCGACAGACGTTTCGACCGGCGATTCCGAATGGCCAGGATCCTTCGATGACGCAGCGCACCATTCGACAAGATGCTGCGGAGTGGGTGCGAAGCGAGGCCAGGTTTCGAAACCATGTTTGCCACTTCTTATGGCATTTCACATCCTCAACGTGGATCCATGACAATGCAGCCAGAGCACGACGTGGGTCCCTTTTGAAAGCTGCAGGCGCTGAAAACCGACTCTGGACGAGTTGTGCAGTCTAGCTAAACTTCAGGTCATGCATCGATCCATCCGACGCACCACAAACTGCATCACTTGACACGAGCAGAGTCATGGAACCCTTTATGAGACGGCAACGCTCCCGCTCAGCTGCCAGGAGGGTGCATGGTCGAGCTTTGCGAAGACGGCTTTGGGACCGGCAGAGGCGCCAGCCAAGCTGTGCACAAATCCCTCTTTCTCCATCAATTTCGGACAATCCAACGACATGTCATGCTACCTTGTGTAGCCCCGATTCGATCACTACTTACGAACTTGAATCATGCCACCGCCCTCAAATTCGAACGCAGTCAAGTCAAGCAGATTCGAGCACTTGCGATTCAGGTACAAGACCATGTGAAGCACTCGCGATTAAAGCACCGGCGACTCAAGCAGCAACATGCAACTGGTCCTACCTTCTTCTCAGGTACCGCTCGTCTACCTTCAGAGTTTAGGGTTTCGCACCCTCCAGCTCCTGCAGGGTTTCAGACTTCTGAGTTGCTCCGTCCTACCACTCATCCACTTCGGATTTAGTTGTTGGCACCCGTCATCTCCTCTGAGGACTCAGGCTTTCGGCATTTCGGGCCCTGGTATCATATTGATGACCCACCAACCCCCTGCTCCTTTTACGATTAAAGGTTTTCGCAGTTATCGCATCACACCCCTTGTGAATCCTCCTCGCCCATGTTCGATTCGGCCGTTCGCGAATCCATGGTCGGTTCCCTCCCTGACCGTGCATGTCTACGAACTACTGAGTAGCTGCCTTTCTTGCTTCGCTTCGGCTCTACGCATCGGCTCCAGACCTTCATTTTCGGGACCCGAGCCGGGCCCCTGGTGGAGCTCGGATCCTCGCCATGGCCCGGCTCTTGCAAGCGCAGGTCCAGGTGGCTCTTGGAGTCCCAGTGCATCCGGGGCCCGGGGGGGGATTAGCTTCCGCCCCTTTGGCGGAAGCTCGAAGTGCGGTGCAAGTCGAGGTGCGGTCGTTCAAGCAAGCGACGCCTCATCCTGCAGTATGGGCTGGTGCTACAGTCGGCCTCCTCCGAAGGCACTGGCGCTTCAAGTTGGCTTCGAAGGGCACAGATCGTGAAGGAGTCCGAGACGATGTGAATATGAAAAGCTTGTTGGCCGCCTTGCAGGGCTCCTGGGAAGATGACGTTGGTCTGAGCATCTCCGTTACAGGCACAGATGTGAACTTTGGCGACGGCACTGGTCCCTGGGAGGTACAGGCCAAAGGCTCAAGCCTTTATCTCCGAGGTACCCGCTTTATTGGCAGTGCTGAAGCCCCTGCCTGGGAGTTTCCGAATGGAGTGCAGCGGACATGGTCACGCCCAGAGCCGCTGAGCGCCGAGCAAGAGAACTGGCGCGAGCTGTTTTTGGAGTACAAGGCTGGGCGTTTACAACTTCGACGCCAGCTCTGGGCGAGTCTCGTGGTGGAGGATTCCTCGATTGCGGAGCTGCAGGAACTCTGGAACTCGGGGAATGCTGCTGCACTGATTTAACAATTCATGTGATCTGGGAGTCTCCGAAGTTCGGGATCCCCTCACACGGTCTTTGGTATAGCTCTGTTGTAATTACTACAGGCCTCCCTCCTGCTTCCGCAAGTAAGCTCCACTTTGGTCTTTAGGTGCCTGGGGATGCTGCAGACTACAGCCTTGAGCAGCAAGCTCGGCTGTCTGCTGGACGCTTCATCGCTTCTCGTCGCGGATTTCGGAAGCTACGGTTCTTCGAGGTCTGCGAAGATATAGGAATACAGGCAAGTTCAGAAGATCTGGTACTCCTACATCTGCCGCTAAGGTTCCGGGCACCCGCAGCTCAGCCGCACACAGCCCAGCATGGTTTGGTTGCTGCTTAAGATAGGGACACACGAGCTCTGTGAACGCATGACGAAAAGAGAAGCAAGGCTTCTCAGGCGAAGAAGGCAGTGACGCCTTGCAGCGCGTTTAGGACTCAGTTTTCAAGACAACCAGAGCCAGAGGCTTCGTGCACCGACGCTACGGATATCGAGCCGTGGTCGTCTGCTGTGAGCCGTGGTGCAATGCCGGGAAGGCGTGGAAGCGCATGATGGGCGCTGGCCTTATTTGTAACGGAAATCTGATCGCCGGCCCAACTCGGGCACGAGTACTGAAGTTTCAGAGATTGGAACTCGTACGCAGTGATGTGGTGCGTCTCTCAGCCTGAATCGTCTGCATTTGCCGACAAAGGTGTGTCAAGCCTGCCCAGGGGCGAGCTGCAGCCCTTCTATCACTGCAGCTTGGTTGATGTTCCATGATGTTCCCGGACGGTTTCTGAAGGAGCAAGGCCAGTAGCAGAGCATGGTAGAGCCTTCCTCCATTGGTCCATGGCACTGCCACGGTCCCTGGCACAGCAGCTCGGGGAACCACCGTTGCAATGAGTTACTGTGCATAGCATGGGAACCACACGGGAAGGAGCCAGTAGTGCTCCGCTGTTGCTTGTAGCGGGGGTAGCTAGTGGATCATGAACCCTATATCAGCCCTATATGCACTTTCAGTGCAGGCTTGGTGGACGAGCGCGTGTCTTGGAAGCAGCAAGAGTCTGTTCAGTGCCCAGCTTGGAAGCTTGCAACGGGTTTGAAAAACACCGGAGTGCGCACGTCAAATTGGCAAGCAGGAAGTAGAGCCACTGCAGCCAGAGCTGCAACGAAAGCCCTCCGGAGGACCGACCGGGCGCGCAGATGACATTCGTGGGCGAGGAGAGAGGGCGAGAGCGCAGGAGAGAGAGAGAGAGAGAGTAGCCATTTTGGCTCAAGTGCCACACCTTGTACTTGGGGGTCTGTTCGCCCTCTTGTGCCGGGGGGGAGAGGCAGGGGGTTACTCTGGGCTGTTACCCCGGAGGAGCCACCCTCGCCTTGACCCAGTGGTGCTTGAGTCTCCGCCCGCTGCCGTCTTGCTTAAGAGGCCCCTTTGCCAGCGCACCCTCCCGAACCTGACCGCGGCCCCTCCTCCGGGAGGGTGGCCCGCCAGTAGGGGGACGGAGCATACTTCAGCACTGTGGACCACGGGGAGACCTTGTCCTACTACCACCTCACGATCCATGTCGAGCTCTTCAAGATCCAAGCCGGGGGGGAAAGACAGCCCCAGAGGTGGGAGAAGCCGAATAGAGAGAGACCCATCGGCAAAGCCAGGCAGAACCAAGACGACCTGGCAAGAGCAGTGTGCAGTCGCGGAGAAACTTAAGGCCATGGGGGTGACATGTCGAGCATGCCTTGAAGGACCTTTTTGCCACAAAAGCCACGACAGTGGCGCCTCATGCTACAAACAACGTGTTGCCACGGGGGGGATCGCCAGCACGGCGGCACCCAGCAACATACGGAAGCAGAGGGACGTGGCTGACGAGCATGACCTCTACCAACCCGAAGGGGGAGGGACTTGCGAAGTCGCGGGGAGGACAAAGCCCTACTCCGACTACGTTCGCTTCGAGACTGAAAAGGGGAGAGCTCTCCTGTACGAACCAGACCCGCTGGACCGGTGGATCGGGAAGAACATCAAGAAGAACTGGAAAACGGGGAAATACAAAGACCGCATAACGGGGGAGATCCTCGACGAGGCCAACATTCAGGAGTGGGAGCAATATGTGCAAAGGCACAATGCGAGAAGAGAGACCGGCAGACAAGCCGACAAACTCGTCGACATAGTCCAGGAGGGGAACCCAAAGATCGTCGCGGAGCTCCTTTGGTATATAGCCAAACACCCGTGGAAGGTGGGGGCGATGCTAAGCCAAGCAAAGCAATGCTACAAGAACCAACCCACACCACTCACGGAGGGGGCGAAGGGCAGCAAAGCCGAGAAAAAGGGGGACAAGACGGAGAAGAAGGACCGGGACAAGAAGGACCACAAAAAGACCAAAAAGTTGAAGAAGGACAAGAAGGCCAACCAACGCGCAGTGGAGAAGAAGCGGACCAAGCGTGAGATAAAGGCGGGGAGCTCAACAGACACAGCTCACGAGGGGAAGCGGATCAAGCATGAGATGAAGGCGGGGAGCTCAACAGATATAGCCCGCGTGAGCCCGACTGCGGAAGCCACGGAGAGCTTCAAAGAAGAGGAAGTGGACTGGGGCGACGACGAGGAGAAGACGACGACAACCGAAAAGCCGAGCACCGTGGGGGACTCGAACAGTTCCACGGATGCTGGGGCGCGACCATCGCTACCAAGCCGCAGCCCAAGACAACGAGACCGAGGACGAGGTGGGGAAAGACGACCGGGGGGCACACAACGCGACCCCAACCAAGTCCGACTACTACCTGGACCCATGTGGCATGCTGTGAGACGTGTACAAGCGCATATGCGGGGTGATACCACGACGTGACCTACAAGCAATGAGCGGGGGAAGTTTCTTCAACAGTCTTTCTGCGAGCTTACAATGATGAGCCTAATTTAAGACGGGCCGCTGGAGCCATTCCGACTAACTACCAACAGGGCCACACGCCCTTGCACTTGCACAAATTGGCATTGCGTCAGAGACTTGCCGACACCACTTTGGGGGATGACCTTTTCGCTCAACTTTTCAACAGAAACCTAGATGGAAGCTTTGCAACGGGGGAGTCAGCCCACAACTGTGTTCTTACTGCATTATAGTCGTTGCTCGGCCCTTAGAGTGTTGTGGTTTTTTGGGAGGCGACCACCGTTTGCCAGACCATAGTGGGGGATTTTGCCTGTCGCAGGAACTTAGGACTTAGCCCTAGGGGGCGCGGCGATGAGGCCGGGACGCGGGCTAAAGTTCAGGGTTAGGGGGGGTTCCTGCCAGGCAAACTCCACAGCTCACACACACCTTTGTCTTTGTTTCCCGACCTCTGACCCCACAAGCCTTCTCTACCACCACCGCGTGGGGGAGAGGGGGGCCTAAGGCCCGGGTCCGCCTGGCGGACCCAACCCTCGAAGCCGAAGCCGAAGCCGAGAGAGAGAGCGAGCGAGAGAGAGATCGCAATGTGTTCAGAGTGACGGGAAGGCAGGATATAGCATGGTCAGTCCTCTCCATTGCTATTGCTGCAAGGAGAACGTTTCGCCGGCGACGGAGGAGTTCGAAATCCAGCATCCCCTCGTAAAGATGTTGCTCATAAGGCGGGAAGTGTTGACGACCATGTTGAGGTTCGGTGTGGTTCGGATTCTAGGAGTGATCGTGCTGACACTTTGAAAGGTGTGATGAGTTGAATTCGTATTTGCCATCACCCCAACTGGAGCAAGCTCTCAAGAAGCAGCGCCAAGGGCAGGCCTTTCAATGGAGTCTCGGCATGCATACTCTGTCATGAAGCTGCTGTCAATTGCACCGTGTAGTAAGTAGCTTGCAAGGACGTTCTGATCCACTCCGGGGCCAGCTCACGTCAGCAGCGGTTGTGCTGCAAACTGGAACCGGAAGTCTCTCAATTGGCTTTTGGATGCCGATACTTGATGAGACGATCCTCATCTGGATCCAGCGGCCTTCCAAGAGATGCGACTACGCCCACGGCCTTGAAGCTCCGGCAGCCAGCATCAGCACCCGAGCGTTGCCGATGGGGCCATTCGACAGTGACTCGAACTCACAGGGAGTTTGAACATCAGTGCGGCCTCGCAGATCGGTGAGGTGGCAAAAAGACCTTACCCGTTTCAGTCCCGTTTCATAAAATTGCTCCGCCTGCCTAAATGTCCTTCCCGCTCCCATCCTGCTATGGTGTACTTGCGATCAGCAGAGATTTGTGCTAAGCCGTTCCGAAGAGTTTCAGAACACTGCTTGGTTGTTTCGGGAAGCGATTCTGCTGCAATCAGGTGTGGTACTCAGCTTGGTTGCAGATGGCGGTTGGCTTTTCTGTCCCTCCCAGACCCTGTCTCAATGACCACCGGATAGAATAACTCAAAAGTGAACAGATATGTGTGCAGATAGATGTCTATACACATGTATATCATGTGTAGATATATGTATATATACACCTGAATGATGTGTCTGTGAGTGTTTATGTGTATGTAGACATATTCATACATACATACATACATACATACATGCATACATACATACATATGTATACGCTCTCCCTCTCTATCCAGTTCTCCGCATGTATGTTCAGTATGTCTCTCGATACACACACACACACATGAGTGTGTGTGTGTGTGTGTGCGCTTCTGTGTATCAACTTTGTTCAGCCGGCGCACACACACACATCCGTGCAACGCTTGCATGTCATGATACAGAATTGCACACTGAAGCACAATATGAAGTGAAGTACTAGAGAGGCCGGTTACTTAGTAAGTCTACCTCTATGGTATGGTCCAAGCATACATGTGTATATATATATATAGTCATAGGTAGAAGTGGACCTAGATAATCATAAAGAATGAGTATCTCTCTCTCCATATATATATATATGTATTGAAAATATGATGCTAAAATGTAAACTCCAAAGCCCAAGTCTAATGTTCGAGATCCGCGATACTATATTAGATTCGCTCAGCAGTGCTCCTAGATCAGCTCCCAGCAGGCACGAAGCCCACCCACTTCGACGGCGGCCGAGGCAGAGCAACAACAAGATGCAATACTGGCTCCTTCAAGGGCTCCTTTCACGGGATCGTTGGGTAGTACAGGGTTCTATAGTAGGGTCTCCCTTAAGGATACTATAGGGGCCGAACAGTGAGTATGAGCTCAAAGGCTTCTACGAACTGGTTGAAGGAGTTCTGCATATCTCAGGGTATGTACTTGTTGCAATAGTTATTTAGAGCTTCAGGTTAGATATCGGTGATGTTCTGAACAAGAAACCTGTGCCGTTTCCTTCTCCACTCATCATCTGATTTTCTGGATTGGTTGGTCTTCTTCAGATATTCTTGCACATCTCTTTTATTAGATAGTTTGCTGTGCGAATGCCATTCAAGCCCGCCGGTCAGGGTGGCCTCAACCGGCCCACGCTGCCTGGTCAGGCTCGTGACATAATGTAACAGTCACAATGCTTTGGGAACAGATGTACAGAATCGCACGACCTGCAAATGCAAGTGGATGCTGATGACACGTGTAGCATGGCTTTTCATAAGTGCTGCTGCCGCCGATGTTGTAGTGTGCCTTTCCTTCGTCGCTGGGCGCCTTTACCCGGTTTCCTGAGGCTCGCGATGCTCTGCGAGATGCCAGGATGAAGGTTCGGCATGCTCCTGGTGTGTGTGTGTGTGCGCTAATTCTAACCGATCGGCTCGAGCACTAGCCTTGATTCCTTAAACTCTGCAAGTGGGAGGACTTGGGAATTCCCTCGCTGACAAACACTGCCTCATCCTCAGCTTTTGACTCCAAGCGAGGCTATTTGCAGCCTTTGACTAAGATACACGGCTCTGAGTGTCGCTTGAAGGCTTTGCTCGGGTACTGCAGATCTTTGTTGAATAACCATCTTCACCGGGGGAATTTGGGATAAGTTGTCATGTGCAATACAAGCGGCTGTCGAACCACCGTCTCGTGCCAAGGTAGGCGGGATTCCGTTCAGTGCAGTCCCTTGGCCGCAGAGTGGATTAAGGCATAAGCCACTGGTGCAGAAAGGCTCGCTGATAGATTTGACCATGCTGGCGATGAGCAACCCACAAACAGTCTGTCTTGCAAATTACAGGGAAAGTCGTGCGCACTCCTGCTGCTTTTCGCGGAACTGAAGCTTCATTACCCCATGCTGGAGAGCCACGGTGCTGATGTCAGAGTCAGAAGTTTCGAAGTTGTCAATCACAACCTTCCTCCCGAGGAGCATGTCAAGTCACGTAATTATTCTCCCACCTGTGACGGAAGATCTCTGGACTTCAATGCTGGCTCTGGGGCTCTGAGCGCGCAGAGTTGCAGATCTCAGGCCACGGTGCCCAAGCCGCCCGTGGGCTGGGTCGGCTCGAAGAAGACGCCCCTTGCACAGGCGGGCTTTGGGGAAGTTGCCAGGGTGGGCCCTCTAAAAGCTCGGACCTGTTGTGTGAAAACAAGACTCAACAGCAGGCTCAGAAATATGCAAGTTTGGAGTGTTCGTCGGTGCGAGAGCAGTTTTACACGGATTGCTTCTGTAGAGCTCTTACTCCTAGTAGCAGCAGTAAAGTCGGAGGAAACGAGGGAACGTGTTGGTGATCGCGCAGCAGTCTGCGTCGTCGTCGGGCTGCAGTTGCCGACAAGTTACGTTGCTGCCGGTGAGATCACTACACTTACAACCCCACCAAACGGGTGCGGAGCGTTGGGACCTGGACGAATGTTCGGCTGCATGATGAGCCTGGAGCGTTACAGGTCCGAGGTTACATCGGTGCCGACACAAAGGCGAAAGGCTGAGAGTCGTTCTGTTGTAAGCTCACCCCGTCCAAACATTGTAGATGAACAGTGGGACTGGTCGCGGAAGTGCAAGTCGTCATGGCTGCTGTTGGCCAGCAGACTTCAGAATTTGTCCATGATGTGTCAACCACACGTACAAGGGATAGTCACAGCACAAGCAACAGCACTTGGCAATGGCAGTGTTGGTAGCGAAAGTACTTCGATCAAGCGCACTCTGCGCGTTAAGTCTGGATCATTTGGAATGGTTGATGCTGGGCCGGTGAAATCGCATGATATACGAAAAGTAAAAGGTCAGAGCTGCATTTAAGCACCTGGGAAGACACTGCATGTGATCTCTGAGATTCACTGTGCCGTTGTGTCGAAATGCAACGTGGAGGAGCTGACAGATCGTGGATGTCGAAATGCAATTCAGTCATTGAGTTGACCCAGACACTTGATAGCTTGTGGCCCGTGTCGAAATGTTGACCGCATGATGAGCCTTCGGCGTTACAGGTCCGAGTACAAGATGCGGACGCTTAGGCGAAAGGCTGAGAGCACCTTCTGGAGCCTCCAGGGTGTCGAGTTGACGCGAAACACGATGCGCAGGATGAGCATTTAGTAAAAGGTCGGAGGTGCTATGCACCCCTTGATGACAACTATCCATCTGAGATCTGGATGCTTGGCCTGTCATGGCCTGTCTTGGCTTGCTGGTACCCGTAGTGCCCTGTTTTGGCTTTCGGCTTGTTGGGTTGATGCTCAGGTGCCCCCAAGGGCCCGAGCATGGTGCAGAGTATTGACCGCGCTGCGCAAGTTCCGATGGACCGTGAGTGGACTGCATCCCCACATTGCCGTACCCAACACCTTTGTGCACCCCTGGCACAGCTGCGTTCCTGAGGAAGGCTATGGCTTCCGTTGTTGTGTTGCGCAGCTGCCACAGCTGATAGACAGCAGCTTCCGTAGTTGTGGCACACTGCACCGCAAGCATGATAGGCTGAGATGCGAGTCAGAAGCAGTGTTTCGGTATTCCGGATTCCAGCAGGGCACCTGCGTTCACGAATTGGGAAGTCAAATGCGAGTTCCAGGCATCACCTACTCGCTGCTTTGCTCTGCCGCCGTGATTTTCTTTCCATGAGCTGAGATCCAAGGCAGAACTGCCTTGCTGAGCATGTGACGCGAAACAGAGCCAGAGAAATCCAGACAAAGCAGCTGCATTGACACCAGTAACGACAATAGACTCCGGAAGAAGCCAGACCTGACATTGAACCAGCTTCAGGGAGTCTAGGGTCGCATCTGTCCGATGCAGCAGCGGCTTCTGGATATCCTCACAGAGGCCAACCCGTCTCGGGCATGTAGCTACCGTGCGAATCAGAAGGTTAATCCGGATCGCGTTAGTGCTAGTGCAGAGGTGGGACGACCTCCTGGGGTCCAGGAAAATACAGATGAATCCGTGCTAGTGCTACTGACGTGTCGCATGTACTGCCAACAAGTAAGACTCAGGGTTAGTAGCTTTTGTCACTTAAACAGGATTCGTCTATACGCACTTACGCGCATTGTATGTATAGACTAGTCTGTATGCAGTAGTAGGTACACACACACATACACAGAGGCTCTCAGTATTTTTGTATAAGTATACCCTACACGCAAACAAGCGCATAGTATACCAGGCTACCTACATAGATACATAATGATACATAGATACATGCGCACATAGACACATACATACGCACATGAACCCCTGAAACCTAAACCCCTATACCCTTAACGGCTAAGCTGCGAGAGGTGCAAAGCCATGGCCCCAGCTCGGCACAGGGAGTTGCCGGCGATGCTCGCGAGGCTCGGGTTTGTTTTACTTTAGGGCCTATAAGGTTCTGCACTTTGATTCCAGTCCTGAACTACTCTGCACTTCGCTGGGGTCCCACTGTATGGTGTGTTATTGGCACATGCGAGACAAGGGCTGCAGTAAACATCCGGCCAACTTCGGGGTGAGTCGAGTACTGGGTGTACCTGCAGCTTCAGGGTTGAGTTGTGTACTGGGTGCTTGCGAGGATTGTAATTCTGTTAGTGTGTGGTTCGTTGCGAAGTGGCCTGGATGTGTAGAGTGTCTGCGAGTTGTGAACTGCACCTACCGGTACAGAGTGCTGGCCCAGTGCTGGACTATGGTAGGGCTGTCATTTGTGTGCTCAGCTTCTGGGACTGCCAGGATAGATATTATGGGAAGCTGTGGTGGTAGGTGGTGAATCCCCGTCGAAGCTAGCTGGCACACGTGCCTCAGCCTGACAGGCATTCTTAACCAACCTTGTGGCGGGATGGAAAAGAGGCGTCAAAAAAAAAAAAAAAATAGGGGCCTTATACTATGACTGTAATAAAGAACCCCCCCAAAATAGTAAAAGGTAATTATTTAGGGCCCTATAGGCCACGGTAGCCTTGCGCATTTTTGTGAATCGCAGAAGCAAGCACGTTCGGAGGATTTGACAACGCGCAAGCCTCGAGATCTTCCGGCAGGCAAGGTCTTCCCGCAAACTGCAAGGCTGCATGCAGTAGATAGTAGAGAACATCGCTGGAGCACTTTTGAGACCCGGAGGGCGTGCCTTTTTCAGTTTGAGGCGAGGCTGTCGATGAACGGACAGAGCGAAGTTCACTGGGCAGAGCACTCCGGCCCTGTGCCCCAGATGCGGAGCGAAGCCAAAAAACGGGAAATCTCCCGAGGGTTTGAAGCTTCCATGGGGGCCGGGGCCAATATCAAGAGCTCAGGAAGTCGAAGGCCTTGCAAGTAGACGTTGTCGGATGCCACAGCCAGTGGAAGCATCCCAGAAGAAGACCCCAGAAGTAAAATCGAGGCAGCCTCTGCGCCGTGACCTGCAAACACTCTCTCGGCATGTTCCGGTAAGGCTTGGCCGTGAGCACGCCAAGGCTCAGGAGTACCAGAGGTGCGCTCTTTGTGGATTTCGGTGTAGCGCACACTTAAGGCTTAAGGCTTGTGGCCTCAATATGCCTCGGCTCTCGATTGACTTGACGAGGCTGGTCGAGAAGCTTTGCCCGATCCCGAGCGGATGTGGTGTCCTGGGCAGAGTATGGCCAACGATGGTTTCCGGCCCTCTCTTCCCACTTTGTGTTCACCCCACCACTCTTTGACTTTGGGAATCCTGCTTTGTGGCGATCTGTAGAACTCAAGTAGGATTTCCTAGTCCAGTGCCCAAAGCCTGCCAAATAAACGTTCACAGGGCCACCTTACTTGTGGCACCCCCAGATCCCTCTCCGGAAATCCCAAACCCTCAGCTTGAATTCCGAGAGGAGGTGTAAACTTACCTTGAAGCTGGTATGTCCACAACAAAAGGAGCAAACACTGGGCCGACGGGACCGAGCCCCAATAAGTAAAGCGCCCAAGCAGCAGCATCCTCCATGTAAGGACCCCCAACAAACAGCACCACTACGTTGCAGCAAGCCCGTTATCTCCCGAGCTTCTTGGGCCTTGGCCTAGGCGCACCCCCTGCGAAGCCTGCAGGGCCAAGGCGCCCATGCCGGGCCCCCAAATGCCTTCTGCTGAGTATGGTCATTGCCGGGTTGAGTGTGGTTGGAGTGGCGTGGTGGCAGTGGTGGCGGCGGCGGAGGCGGTGGTGGTAGTAGCAGCAGCAGCAGAAGTGGCAGTAGTCGGAGTTGGAGTAGGAGTAGTAGCAGTAGTTAGTTAATTTATTAGTTCGTTAGTTAGTAGGTAGTGGTAGTAGTAGTAGTAGTAGTAGTAGTAGTAGTAGTAGTAGTAGTAGTAGCAGTAGCAGTAGCAGTAGCAGTAGTAGTAGTAGTAGTAGTAGTAGTAGTAGTAGTAGTAGTAGGAGTAGGAGTAGGAGTAGGAGTAGGAGTAGGAGTAGTAGTAGGAGTAGTAGTAGTAGTAGTCGTCGTAGTCGTAGTCGTAGTCGTAGTCGTAGTGGTAGTGGTAGTGGTAGTGGTAGTAGTAGTAGTAGTAGTAGTAGTAGTAGTAGTAGTAGTAGTAGTAGTAGTAGTAGTAGTAGTAATAGTAGTATAGTTGTAGTAGTAGCGGTAGCAGTAGTAACAGTGAGCAGAAGAAAGAGAAGGACCATGATGAGGAACTCTTGGTTGTAATACTCGCGCTCGTGCCGCCACTCGTGCTAGCAGCCTGTAGAGTCAGCATGGTTGAACTGTGCTTCCGCCATTATTTATGTTGCTGCTACCCTGGCTGCTGCTGTCACCGATGCTCCTCCTGCCACATGCAGTTTCGTCAAACCTACCTCTGAATAAAAGTGCCAGCAGGCTTTGAGTCTGAGGACTTTCGGGGTTCCGAACTTGGGAATCTTTGGAGCTTGGAGATGACAGGAGGATCGTCGTAAGGACAAGTCGTGCTCAGGTGGCGGAGCTTCGAGCCGTAAGAACAACGCGGCCCGGATCTTGCTGACTGGGTTTAGGGTTTGGGGGTTTGGGGCTTAGGGTTTTGGGTTTAGAGGTTCGGTGTGGTAGAGATGGACGAACTAGCCTACGCAGGGGGAGAAGGTGACACAAGTCTGCTCGACTCAGTCCATCCGGTTAAGACGGCATGACAGTGCAACGTGTCCATGTTTCTCCCATCAACCGCAGGCTCGTTGTGTTCTTGGAAATCTCACGTTGAGAGGCTCTGAATTCTGACTTCGCGAGCCTCCGAGGTGAAGAATGCTCCAGCCGCCCCCAGAAGGCTCGTTCGTCGCTTTGGGTTGGCTTCGGGGCTGGGGAGGTTTCCCGGAAAGTCGTCGCCGTCACAAGAGTGTCTTGTTCGAGCCTCCAGAGAGGCCAAGCGACTCAAGAAGTAAGGCTTAACTAGGGCTTTTTGGATGTTTGTCCGTTAGGGTACCTGTGTTCCGTGCAACTATTCGGTTTGCGAGGCCGGCCACCGGTTTCGACGGCGACGGGAACGAGGCTACCAGGTCTCCATCGCCGCCGCTGGTTGTGCACAGGCCTTCGGCGAATGCCCACGGGTGCAGTCTTTCATGAGAAGAGAGGCATGCCGCTGCACTCATGATGCTGGACTTGAGCGAGGCACTATCACCACCACTACCACCACCACTACGCCGCTTGAATGAGCATTTGGATGCATGGACGGGTGCAGGGTCTAGGCTTGGATATCCCGAAACAGGAGCCAAGTCTGGAGAGCAACATGACTACAAGCGCAGCCACGGTATAGTGGCAAACACAAGAGCAAGCCACACCATATCATATACCATATCGTATCTCATACCACGATGTGTCAGACCATGTATAATATCATGCCATTACATACCATGCATCTGATCCCATATGTCGCAGGTCACAGGTCATAAGCGAGGTGTACTGTTATGTATATGTATATGTATGGTTAGGTATGTAGGTATGTATGCAAGTATGTAATTAACTGTATGGAGTAGTTGTGTAATTATGTATGTATGCATGCATGTATGTACGTAATAGGCATGCATGTATGTATCTCGCATCACATACCACATATTATTCCATATTCCGGTATCTGTTGCTATCATCGTCACAGCTATCACGATGTTCCCAGGTTCTCGAAGACGGCAGCCGTCCCGGTACCGAAGAGCGCTCTCACGCTCGCGAGGCCCGGACGGTGGTTTGCAGACTTCCACGAAGCGGACTTAGGTGCAATAAGCGTAATGAGTACCCAACTGCGTATACAGTATTTTCCATCAACCCTAAACCCAAGGCCCCTAAACTGTTTGGTTCTTTGGAGGCCTTGAGTGGAGTCGGCCTGCTAAAAGTGCTTTTGCTGCATCGTCGTCTTCTGTGGGTCAGGTGAGTTCTCCAGGCTAACTGGCTCGACCGTAGCGGTTTTCTAACCTTTGCAGGAAGGAAAACGGCTTTCAAACAAATTGCAAAACCCTAGAGTCAGGATTTGTCTTTTCGGCATGAAGGTCTTCAGCCTTTTCGTGTCATCGTGCATAAGTTTTGGGCCAATCTCTCCGTGAGTGAGAGGCCTTTTGACTTAAGGTTTCTCAGGTCAGGGGCAGGGCTAGTTGAAGTCTCCGCGCATGTTATGTGCCGATAATAGCTGCCGTGCGCTTGCAGGACACTGGCTGGACGAGCAAAGTGGTGTTCTTAGCTAAACGGGCAGCAGGGCTGTGGAAATCTGAACTTACAGCCGGTCACAGCGACAACAGCAACATGCCACAGTTGCACAGTTGCCATTGACCGAGACATGATTGGGTTTTCGCCATCGCTGTTAGCTGGTTATAGTCATAGTTGCTGAATGCACGCGCTTCCCCAAGGCCGCCGCTCCGGAAGCAGGGGCGAACGATGAGGATGCCAAGTCCCGCCCCCAGAGGGGCAACCTCACCATTTCTCTTGCATCAAATGGTGTGGTGTCCAACATGACACGCGAATCCGAAAGCTTCTCAAACCTGTGTCAGAGGTCAGCTGAAACGCAGCATTTTCACCGCAGGAGCCCCAGGAGCGAGCCGAGACCAGAGTTTGACCTGGGATCTTGGGTACTGTAGCGAACATCTCTTTTTCACTGCCAGCAGGAGTAGGGTTCCTTAAAGGGTTCACTAGCCTACTACTGCAGCAGTATCTCGGTAAAGCTCCCCCCAAGTGTAGCGAGCTGTGTGTGGGGCTGGGGTGACTCTGCTTCCCCACACTCAGGTCACACTCACATTGCTGAGGCAGGGGAAACCAGTGTTGCAGTGCTTTTAGGCTTCTGTGTTCTGAGACTGAGAGTGTAAGCGTCAGAGGCACGACTCATCCCAACTTTCTAGACTACCCTTGACCAAACGTGCTGCTACAGCGCCAAAATGACTTCGCTGTCATTCAATGTTGATTCAATGTGACCCGTCACAACAGGAGATCACTGCTCGTGCTCGGAAACTACACGATGCAGCTTGCGAGGCGAGGAGGTGTTGACTCTAAGGTAGAATCAGGTAGAAATGGCTCCAATAGAACCTGGCCCGTCCAGAAAAGCCAGGCTTGTCTTCCAGACCAACGTATGCCAGCAGTCTTTTGCTTCATGTCAGCTCTCGCTCACGGCTAGTAAACTATGCCTTATCTTGATTCCAAGGGTAAAAGGAGGGACCCTTAATTAGGACCCCTAGGTATATACCATTAATATAGTAATATAGCTATTACCCTTTGATTGATTCTTTTGATGTACAAGTTGAAGTTGAGTCTCCTCGCAGGCCCAGCAAGGCCATTCCCACCAGCAAGGCGCGAATGCAGAATAGCCCCATGAAATCTGGTAGGTCAATCCAACGTAGCTGTTGCAGACAGAGATACATGATCATACTGGCGCATGAAGTCGTTCACATGCTGCTGCCATCGTTGAAGCTTGCTTTTGCCAAGAGGAGCAGCACAACTTCCAGTGCTGTCCTCCACTGTATGCAAGAGTACGAGTATGACAAGCGCAATGCCGCCTTTGGCCAGTGGAGTCTTGCAAAGCCGTGGCAAACGAAAAATGGCAGTAGCAATGATAGAGAGCGATAGTTGCAAATATTTGCTATGAAGTGCGTCTGACAGTCGCAAGCTTCATCTTTCTTGTCCACGACAGGTGCCCGACATCCTGACAGCGAGAGTCCAGACCCGAGGCTTCCCAGGTTATGCTGAAACCTCGGGAGCTTTTGCCGCAAACGCGGCAGAGAGCATGCCGGAGCAGCTTCGGTGTCAAAATCGGTGCAAGACATGTGCAGATTAAACATCATCAGTAATGATTAACATCTAGCAACCATTGATAACTCTTCGTCAGTGTTAATAGCTGTTTTCCGGTGATCATTGATTAACCGTAAGCAACCCAAGATTGAGCACTTTCGTTGCAGCTGTTTCGGCATGGCGTCAGCCCGTGTGGAGGGGTGAAATTGTGCACCTCCTCGGAGCTGTCGAACATTCTAGGCTTGCAGACCTTGGGCAACAAACCGGAGTCGTGTTTTGACTCTTTCAGTTCGTTCTTGGTCGGCCCAAGTTCTGCAACTGTAGACTCCAGACGTTGCCTGCATTGAGAGCCAAACGTGCCTGCAGTTGTTGTGTCAGCCTGCATGATTCAGTTCAGCAAGTGAGCCACATGCCCCGGCTGTGAGCCCGAGCAGACTTGAGCAAACAACTCTACCAGCGATTCAGAGGCTGAGGGTCCTGACTCCATGGGCCAGGCACTAGACGGGGTCCCTCAAAACATCGTGGAGATCGTCGATGCCAGCCGGACCGGTCTTCAGGTGGGAGCTGACAGCGGGCGTACATCACCAGTGTTGTCAGTCGGACCATCCTGGCTATGAGCACTACTAGTAGCAAGGCAAAAGCCGATCAGCACGTCATCATTGATAACAACGGCAATGTCGGAAACGGATACTGTAAGGCAATAAGGCGGTCGCCTCGACACGAATCATTATGGTCGTGATTGACACTGGTGGTAAGCAAGTAGCATCAGTAACAATCCATCAGAATCACCGTCATCATCATCATCATCATCATCACCATCATGAATCATCAGCATGGTAACGACTTCGGTAAGAAGCCCTCTGCTCACATGCTCACATGGAACTGTGCAAAGCTTCCAAGGTTGCACGGACCAAGCGGGCTGCTCCCAACGACTTCCGGCCAAATCGGATGATCAAGGCTTCTTCAAGCTGTGATTATTGTGATAAGTTTTGTGCCGTGGGCAACATTCTGCCTGCTGCTTCTCGTGCTACGACTGCAGCAACAAGAAGACGACCGCGAACGTTGCCACTACCACATGCTGCTCCTCCTCCTCTTACTGCTCTGGTACTGCTGCTTCTTCCAAAGTTACTGTATCTCTTCCTCGCAGTGACATCACCACTGTCATCTCAAACTTCGGAAATAAATCATAGTCGTGCAAAGCATCTTTCGCAGGAGGGAAGCTGACAGGGCATCCGTAGGTGGGTTTAGGCCTAGGTCCACCTCCGGGCGCAGCGTCTAAGTCGCGACCTGGCAGGGCAGCACAAGGACCTCTCGAGTGCTGCAACGAAGCTGTGCCGACCACAGGGTGAGTCGTGTGAAATCATCGAGCTTTGTGTCATTGTGCCAGAAGCTTGGAACTCGTCGGAAGAGCAAGGTGCCTGGAACACGACGCACAATCGAGATCAGGCCGTGTGCTCAAGAGCTCAGAGACTCCTTCCTTGCGTTTTCTGGGTGGACGGTCGGGTGCATTGCTACGGACTTGTCAGGTCATGCAGGGCCGACAGTTCAGTGCAGTGGAGCAGCAGATGCTCGACTGCAGCCGTGCTCGCGGTGGCTCCGTTTAAACTCCAAGCACATCAACATCGAATCACAAATGTCCCCACCTTTCAGGAAGAACGAGTTCATGCGCAAGGTTGCAGCCGAGAGAATCCAGAGGCGGCTACTACTGTCACCATGTCGGAGTTGACCTTCGGCATCGCATGCATGCATCGTCTCGCGGGAGGACTTGGCGAGCTTGGTACAAGTACTGCAATCAGCTCAACCTCTGCTCAAGTTTGGTTTTGGCGTTCGCAGTGCAACATGCGCTGAGGCACATTGATAGAAAACAGCCGCGGCCGAATTGATTCGCTGACTTAGGCCAAGACAACTCGGATTGGCTCGTGACAACATGGATAGCAGCGACCATGATCCAGGTACTGGGATGCGTTGTGTGCACAGTGCATGGGTAGGCTGACAGCGCACATCGCCGCTACTTCCATGTGAGGCCAGGTGGCGATGCTATCATGTGAAGCGCAAGAAGTTGGACAAGGCTTCTACAACCATCCAGAGGCCATTGAAGTCTTACCGTGCAATCCAGAATCGGACGTGTGGCAAAACATGTTAACATATGTTGTGGCGTAGTACCCTCGTCCTGACAGAATCATCCGTGCCTTTCTGGTGCGCCGTCTGCTGTCCAAGCGGCGCAAAGCAGCGACTTGGATATCATGGTTGGTAGTCCTCGAACAGCTAATGAATGTGCTCTGTAGAAACCGCTAAATATGAGTGCTCCTATGTTCTGAGTGCAGTCGTCAAACCAACGCGTAACATGCACGAAGGACGTGCGCACGGAAATACACAACTATTAAAATATCCGCTGTCCTCCTTATTATGATGCTCCATGACTTGCCAAGATCGTCATCCAGCGGCATGCCAGAGGAGTGATCACTCGCCAAGGGCTTGGCTTGAAGCATTCGTCTTTGATCATCCAATCTTGCTCTCGCCAGCCTCTGTGACAACACGCGCCAGCAATCCAAAAGACTGAGCGTCTCAGGTAATCGGCTTCGTGCGAAACATCGAGCTGCGGTACATGGCTTAGATAGATAGATCACGTATCTATGTTAATAGTACTCATATTTTAATAATATTAATACTCATGCTAACGGTAATAATGATTACAGTGATAGCAATAGTAATACTACTAACATTATTATTACTAGTAATAATGACTATACTTGTAGTAGTGAAAGCAGCTTGGCAATGCAGAGTGCGGCCGTCGCCTCGGATTTCCTTGCCTTCCAGGTCAAGGCCCAGTCGCTCATCCGGGGCTTCCTCGCGCACTTCCCGGATTCTTCGAATCTTCTTGAAATGGGAGTTTCCAAAAATTGTGGGGTCCTTATAATAAGGATCCTACTATTTAAGGGTACTATATTCGGGTCCCCCATTTTCGGAAACTCCCAAGTGTGTGTGAACCGACTCTCGGCTCGGCTCCCATGACACTCAGGGAAGAAGACGGGTGCAAAAGAAACGTCTAGGCATGGACCAGCTGGTATCACTGGCACAGTTAGCTACGGTGCACGGTCATGAATGGTCCACCGTTGGCTTAAGTAGCGAGCTTGCAGGAGTCAGAGCCTGCTTGCTGTAATGAGGGTGGCACCTTGAGCTGAATGATCCTCCCTCGAACCATGCGTGCAATGCGTGGCCAGGCTTTGACAATTCAGTGCGCCGTCCGCCCGCTCCCAAAGCACGTTCTGTAAGAGCAAGCAGCAGAAGCATCTGGTCGCCAAGAGGTCAACACTGATGCTTTAAGATGCTGCAAGCCCGATCTTGATGAGACTGCGTAAGTAAGTTCTTCGTGGAAGACTGCTTGGGATCGGGAGCGACTACCTCGCTTCGACGTCATATGCATTTTATGCCTCGATTCGCAAAGGTTGCCACCAAGCGCGACGGAGAGTGCAGGCACCGATGCCAGCATGTTGTTTCCGAAGAGGTGTACAGTGGCCGCCGGTGCTAAGTTGTTAAGATTCGTGGAACGGTTCGCCGGCATGTTGGATTCAACTGCTTGATATCATATACGCATGTATCAATCAGGTAAACATCCATGCAGATGAGTTAGATAGCATCTGTCATTCGTCTGATGTCTCGCGAGGAAATCCCGAGCTAGAGACACTGCCAGACCTAAAGCTCTGTGAATCATCAGCACTCGGCATTGCTGTGCAGGTTCGGCGGGATGCAGCCGCTAATGCAAAGGCCCGGCCGCCGGACCTACCTACATGCGTTCGGCTTTCTTTCACAGGTTCAGAGGTCTATCGAGAAGGGAAGGCTGGAAGGCTTTTCAGTGGCTCGCTTGACTGACCCGGTGTTGCAAAAGGTCGGCTGTATGCGAGATTGAGTGCTGTCTGTGGTTGATGAGGGTAGCCATCGTTGGCGCAAGCCGTCAGATGAAGGATGTTGCTCACCTTGCTTTCAGTGTCGGTACTCTCACGTGGTTGTTGCTGCCAGAGCACCATCAGCAGACCTGCATGGTGCACTTTTTTCAGCCACAGCCGGTATCTTGACGGTTCGGCAGGCCAGAGTGGCCGGAGCGGTGAACATCCAGCGGCATTTCCGCGGCATCCAAGGCTCTCGTCTTCGAAGCCTCCTGAGCCGCCCCGAACTCCGCCCTTTTCCTCTGCCAGGCAGGAACCAAGCGACTCAGAAGCTGACGGAGCCAGGGGCCGAGCCAAGAGACCGAAGTCTCATCCATGATCCTCCGGACCGGATCTTCCTCCGGATCCTCCGTCGGATTCCTTCGGATTGGGAGGTACAATACGGCTATGGAGCAGCACAGAGCTGCAACGAAATTGCCGGCCACTCAAAAATTTGCACGAGTTCCTTTGGTTTGGCAGCTGACCATGGGCACAGGCTCTAATTTGGCACGCAGCACGCATTCTGCATGTCACACGTTCTACAGATACTTTGCTGGACGCCAGACAGGCTACTTTGCGTAATCGATCACTTCGATTATTTCATACGCTGCTAGACTGTCAGATGTCAGATTACAGGATGCAGTGTTAGAAGATCCGTAAGAACCTGAATACTGTAACAAGTCTCATGAGTTAAACATTGCAGTATCAGCTTCCGACAGGCAGGCTATGGCGAGACGAGATGCCGCCATCAAAAGGGTCGGATCCTTGCGCCTGTGAATAGGAACCAGGTAGGCTTTGGGGCATTTTGTATTTTCCCTTATTGGTCTTAAGGGGATCTTATTTACCAATATTTTTCAAAGGCTCCAAAAGCCCCACCTAGGGAAGCATTTGCTCTGATTCGGATGATGAGCACGAGAGTAGGGCTCTGGGCAGTTGGACACGCAGAAGCATGCAGGAGCGGCCATTTGAAGGAATGGCTTTCCATAGGAGTCATTTACAGGACGCTTTGCTGTGCTGTCAGCTGCAGTCAGAATCAGAAACGCCGGGAATTTGACCCGACCAAGCATGGCTGTCCCACTTCTCAGCATGGATCATACTTCAATTCCAGCCGCTTGTGTTGAGGTCGACAAGATCAGGTTGGATAAGTTCGAGGAGATGAACAAGGTGCACAACACACATGCTCTTCATGGTAGAAGCCATGAACTACGTATTAAGGTGAGTTTGTAAACTCGACATCTTCAGGCGGTTTGGTTTCTTGGCAGGCCGCCACGACCATCCGCAAGCTGTGGAAGGGAAAGAAGACCCGTCGAAAGTGCGACTGCACAGTCATGATCGAAGTGCAGACCATGACTCCTGAGCAGTGACGGCCAGCTGTACGTAACATTGAAGGGATGAAGTGAGGACCGCCTGGCAGGTACCAACAGCTCATGGAAGAGTTTGCAAGGCACCTTCCCCGGTGATGCGGTTCTCAGCATGTCTAAAAACCCGATGTGAAGTGGTCGTACTAGGATCCTAGTGGCCCCAAGGTCGAAGCGGTATCATCTGTGACATCGCACGGGTTCGAAGAGGTTCTCACTTCAACTGCTCGCGGTGAGGCACGTCGACAACGTCATCACCATCCAGCGATATGCGCGCGGATTTCTAGTGCGGCTCCGCATGTGGCGACAAGTCATGGGCCTGGAGACTGCGAAAAGCTAGGCACTGACGTGCATGGCAGAGAACACAATGATGAATTTGCATCCGCTGGCCATACGTCTCATTGCAATGTGGCAGCGGAATTGCAGATGGGCTGAGGCAGTCCGTGCGGAAGAAGAGTTGTGGGCTTCCTTAGAGATTCAGCGCGTGTGGCGTGGGTGCCCCCTGCATGGTTCATCAGGCGTGTTTCAGCATCTCAGCTTTGTTTCCTGTCTGCCAAGCTCAGTGCCAAGCTCCGTGTGCACAGTGTAGACTCCGGCGGTCAGCAGGTATTTGGGCCGTGTGAAGTGGGAAGCTAAATACGAGGAGGCACGGTGTCGAGCATCAGAGATTGCGGGCCCTGCCACTTCAGCTACGTCGATCCGTTGCAAAAGTCGAATCACTTTCACGTTGCAACAGGTTTGGCAGAAGGAAATGGCTGCCGTGCGAAGCTGAGCCGAACTGCTGTGGGTAGGCGAGTTTCGCAGCAGAACTCAATCTTCCCAAACACCTTGTGAAGTATACATGAGAAAAGCAAGGGGGCTGTCCGTCCAAGAAGTGTGCCAGAGCGGCAGGGGTTGCGTGAAGGAAGCGGCTTCATCGACATGATGTGCTCACATGTGACATTGACATCCGTACATGTCTCCTCTCGTCGCAGTTCCGCCAAGGCCATGATCGAGAGAAACATCCGTGGTTGGCTCGCCCGTGCCAAGGTGCCTGCAGACATGAGCTTCCAGCGTGCAAAGGGTGCATGGGAGTTGATGTGGCTAACATGTCTGATAATTCCATGTGTTGCTGTGGTACCCGCCACGACCCTTTGATTGTTTGGGCAGATACTCAGAAGCTGTCCTAGAGGTGGGGCGCATGCGTCGCAGAATCGCGCGTGCCGAGCAGGATGCCTAGCTTGCATCAGCCCTTCCCGAAGGCCTGCAAAACCGGTATAACTACCAGACTCCTGAAATTGTTGCCTTCATCTGCCGTGGCAACAACTCCAAAAGCCAAGGTTTGAGCGCGCTCGCAAGCGATTCCGAGCAGCACAGCGGATCCAGGCCAGTACTGCTGGGATCCAATGCGTTTCTTCGCTTCGTTTTGGCCGGGGTGAACTTGAAGTGGACATCCTTTCGAGGGAGGGGTGAAGGACATTGTAGGTCAAGCTCCAGGCCCTGGTGCGTGGAGTTCTCGTTCGGATACGATTTGTCCGGCGGTATGCCAGATCTAGGACAGCCGCTGTCCGCGAGCTCAGCTTCTGCAAAGCTTTTTGGTTTGTTTGATTTCGGCCAGCCGTCTTGGCGTGTCGTACGTCCTCATAGCGCCGTCCTCGATCGCTCAGGTGCGCATCCAAAGAGTAGCCAGAGGCCATGCGCTAAGAAAGCGCTTGTGGCAGCAGGCGGCCTTGCACTGACTTCTCCCTCCTTTACAAGCCTGGAAATGCCCAATGACCCAATGATTGCAATCCGCAGGTGAAAGCACAGAAGGCCACCTACATTGAGGCTCGTTGGCCCATTCTTCGAGTAATTTGAGTTCCTTTTCAAGTTTCGGGGGCTTCGACTGCGCTGGATGTTTGATGTTTGCAGGCTCATGCAAGAGGCTTCCTCGTCAAGCGACGCCGACTGCACCTGATGCTCAGCTTGTCGAAGACTAATTATATGTTTAAATACTGGCAGTTCGTGTCGATGTAGAAGACTTCCTTTCAGTGCCGGTTGAACATGGAGACATTCCCAAGGATCGCCAGGGTGATGCGCATCCAGCGCGTGTGGAGGTTCTCACTTCGGCGCAACAGTGCAGCATGACACATATTTTACTAGGCAAAGCAGTCATTCCGATAGATGTGGTGCTTCTAAGGTGCTTGCAATGACCATGCATTAGCTTGGATCTACTGTAACCTTGCAGGAGATGGCTTGAGAAGCCACCAGAAGATCGCGATGCTGCCGTGGCTGGGATCCTAGATTTACGCGGTATGAGCCCAAGCTTCCAAGAAGACCTTCTGCCGGCGGACGAACTCAGTACCCCGAACATGGGCAGCAGCAGCAACAGCAAGAGCAACAGCATCAGCCGCAGCAACAACGACACGCAGAGAGACAACAAGAACAAGAGCAGAAACACCATCACCCACCACGAGAGCTCCAGCAGCAAGAGCAACCGCAGCAGCAAAAACCACGAGAACAGCAACGAAGCAACGCCGCCAAACGCAGCAGCATCAGCATCAGCAACACCTGCAATATCGCAGCAGGCTGCTACTGCTGCTTCTCTTGCAACTACTACCACTGTTAGTGACCTCATCATAACCACCCACCACTCCTGCTGGCCAGGAATGCTGCCGCTGCTACTACTCTTGCTACCACTACGACGACTACTACTGCTGCTACTACTACTACGACGACCACTACTACGACGACGACTACTACTGCATCACGCTTACGGCAACTGCTGCCCCTACATTTTCCACCAGCACTACAACGACCACAACTTTGAAGCAGTTGTACAAGAGAAACACAAACACCTCCCCCTCCCTCATCCTCCCCCCTCATCATCATCATCATCATCATAATCATCAAGATCATAAGCATCAGAGTCGCCGTTTTCGCCAACATCACTATCACCATGATGATTATTTCTGAGCAGGAAAACGAGGACTGCGACGACAGCATGACAAAACCTTCGACAGCAATCGCACCACGAATTGCGCTGCCGTCTGCAGGCCCTCATGAAGGAGCGCAAGGAGCAGGCGTGACATGTGTCATTGGGACTGGTCGTAGCAGTGAAGATTTCGCTTTGAACAGGATCCAGGGTTTCACCGACTGGTAAAGCGAAGCGTCTGCTACTGTAACAACTGGCAACTAGCAGCTAGCAAGTAGCGATGCAGTCAGCAGAAGCCTTGTCCATCTTGTTGTCAGGCAAATGCCCTGCTAATGTTTTCATACCACTTCAAGATCTTTCCGTGGTTCTTCGGTTATGTACATACGCTGTCCCGCAGTCTGGACACGGTGTTGCCCCGTGCCCGGCCTCGTCAGGCAGCCAAAATCCAGCAAGCCTTCCGGAAGCATGCTGAAAAGAAGGCCTATGTTCAGAAGCACAGCCTCGGACTGGGCTACCATGCCAAATCCTGATCGGACTCGTGCTTATGCTGGCTTGGATTGCAGGAAGTTCAGCGGATTCACAAGGAGGATGCCGCAACGGCGGAGAAGCGAGCTGCCAAGTGATTGCATCGAACTTTCAGTGACAGTGAAGGTCGTGGTTTGAATGTAGCAGTTCCAGCGTGAAAGCAGTGACTCAGGCCAAGTGGGGAAGAGGAAGCAGTCCCTCCACCCGCAGAAGGACCACATTCGGACTTTCGTTTAGTGGCATTGGCACTGTAGTTCTGCCACACGCAGACGAGGACATGTCGCAGATCCCACGACGGCTGAGAAGCGAACAGCCAAGTGATTGTATCGAACCTTCAGTGACAGTGAATGTCGTGGTTTGACTGTGGCAATTGCAGCTTGAAAGCAGTGACTCAGGCCAAGTGGGCAAGAGGAAGCGGCCTCTCCACCCGCAGAAGGACCACATTCGGACTTTCGTTTTGTGGTATTGGCACTGCAGTTCTGCCGCACAAGTAGACGAGGACATGTCGCGGATCCCACGACGGCTGAGCAGCGACCTGCCAAGTGATTGTATCGAACCTGCAGTGACGATGAACGTCGTGGTTTGAACGTAGTAGTGCAGCTTGAAAGCAGTGACTCAGGCCAAGTGGGCAAGAGGAAGCGGTCCCTCCACCAGCCGGAGGACCACATTCGCACTTTCGTTTAGTGGCATTGGCACTGTAGTTCTGCCACACGCAGACGAGGACATGTCGCAGATCCCACGACGGCCGAGAAGCGAACTGCCAAGTGATTGTATCGAACCTGCAGTGACAGTGAATGTCGTGGTTTGACTGTGGCAAATGCAGCTTGAAAGCAGTGACTCAGGCCAAGTGGGCAAGAGGAAGCGGCCTCTCCACCCGCAGAAGGACCACATTCGGACTTTCGTTTTGTGGTATTGGCACTGCAGTTCTGCCGCACAAGTAGACGAGGACATGTCGCGGATCCCACGACTGCTGAGAAGCGAACTGCCAAGCGATTGTATCGAACCTGCAGTGACAGTGAAGATCGTGGTTTGAATGTAGTAGTTGCAGCTCGAAAGCAGTGACTCAGGCCAAGTGGGGAAGAGGAAGCAGTCCCTCCACCAGCAGAAGGACCACATTCGGACTTTCGTTTAGTGGGATTGGCACTGTAGTTCTGCCACACGCAGACGAGGACATGTCGCAGATCCCACGACGGCCGAGAAGCGAACTGCCAAGTGATTGTATCGAACCTGCAGTGATGGCGAAGGTCGCGGCTGAGTGTGGCAGTTGCAGCTTGGAAGCAGCCACTCAGGCCGAGTGGGCAAGAGGAAGCAGTCCCTCCACCCGCAGAAGGACCACATGTTAAATTAGTGTAAATCTGCTGCAGTTCTGCCGCACACGAGGACATGTCGAGCCTGGCGGCCGCGGCAACACGGCCTGAACCTCACACAGATGCAGAAGGTCAAGAACCTAAAACCCACTCAAACATGGCCTTGCGACTGGATGAGGGTTTTGGCATCATAGGAAGTTGTGAGTTTCAGGGTTTTCAAAGGTAGTTTTGGTGCTGAGTTTCGGGGCGGAGTTTCGGAATATGGTCCGGGACAGTTTTGGATCAGGACGACATGGTCAGTTTCGGTCTCACGCTAGTTTCAGGCCCAGGCCTGCAAGAATCGCACTGAAACTTCCCACATCGCCCCCGAAACTGACAGACCCACGTCCTGAAACTGACTCCTGCTGTGCAGAAACTGGGCGACAAACTCTGATCCGAAACCCCCGGCAGCCGATCCAAAACCAGGACCTCGAAACTAGGGGCGGGGGGCTAGAAGAAAGCAGGCCCTCCTTTAGGTGCATCTGGTGTCTGGCCCCCAGCAATTCCATGAGCTTGTGGCTCTGCGTATAAGAATACGGTTGATGATAGAAATCCTGCATTACCTTAATGACCCTAGACTATGGGAATTCTGGTCTCTTCCTTGTTATGAGTAATGCAGGATTAATATCATCCACCGCAACCATAAGCATCAATTATAACAAGAACGATAAACAAAACATTCCAGCCCGGCCTCCATGCAATGACTGCTCCTTACAAACCTGCTTGAAACTGCCAGGATCCAGAACTCTGACAGTTTCACCGGTGAGAGCAGGTGGGGAAAGCACGACAGACACTTCCAAACCATAAACACGTAAACTAGGCATATAGAACCCTTATCCTTTTCGAAATATTAAAGCAACAATATCCTATAACATACGGAAATCTTCTAGATCCCTGATAGCCATCCTCAAGGAACCCTGTTTACCTATAAACTCCTACACTGGTCCTACACTCAATGTAATGACCCGAATCTGTGGGCCCCGAAGATGCGGCTCCGCGGATGAAAGCAGCTGTCAAATCCAGGTACAAAAGCCTTTTGGCACTTTTTCCTTTGCAGGGTTTAGGGTTTTAGGGGGTTTTAGGAGTTTAGGGGTTCAGGGGTTTAGGTGTTTAGGGGGGCTCGTTTCAGGCTGCTACTTCAGTGTTTCAGGCTACCGAAAAGGTTTTCGGCTCAAGAGTGCAAGGGTGACGGGTTCAGGGGTCAGTCAGTGTGTTCCTACGCAGTTACAAGCTTTTGGCCGTTTGGTCATCGGGTGGACGTCAGCTGCAAGCTGTCGGAGTTGCCCAAATCATCCGAAGGTTTCAAGGGTTTTCTTAGGCACCGCTCCGATGACAGATCGACGGACGTAGTTTCGACCGATTAATATGAGAAAAAAATATAGAAAATTACATATTTACTGTTGTTTTCCGAATCCGTAGCAGAAGGGTTCTCGTTTTAACTTAAGGTTCAGGGATCTCACATTATGGGTTTTGCGTTCGCGAAGCGTTTGTAAGTATTCATTTTGCGATGTGGGGGGGGGGGGGTGGCCAGTCGCGGAGGGGGGTCTAGGATATGTCTCTGGATATATCGTAAATACTTGATGTCTAAGGTCTTCCGTTATTCTTGATAGTCGTATTTTCTTTTGAATACGCGACATTCATTTCTATTTTTCTTCAATATTTGATATATGTATATCGTATTTTCTGACGAAGATTCAATCTTAGAATTGATCCATTATTCGTCTCTCTTTATTTTTCTGTATTTCAGGAATCTATTTTAATCTTATTTATGAAATGTTTGAAATTATTACGAGAAAGATTTTGCAAG